TCTTCGTTTTTTGAATGCTGAATTTTAAGCCAGCTTTTCACTCTCCTCTTTCACCTTCATCAATAGACTCTTTAGTTCCTGTTCGCTTTCTGCCATTAGAGTGGTTATCATCTACTTCTCTGAGGTTGTCAATATTTCTCCTGGAAATCTTGATTGCAGTTTGTGAGTCATCCAGCCCAGCATTTCACATGATGTACTGTGCATATAAGTTAAATAAGCAGGGTGACAAGATACAGGCTTGATATTCTCCTTTCCCAATTTTGAAGCAGTCCGTTGTTCCATGTCCAGTTCTAACTGTTGCTTCTTCTCCTGACTCAGCTCAGTTCTGGAGCCTGGAAGTGGGGGAAACAGCCCCCTCCCCTCTGCAATAACAGGAAGAGGGAGCAGAGGAATTGGCTTGTCTGGGGGAACAGAGGGATTATTGTCCAAATAGGTCACGCTCATCAGAGGGGCGTGATCACAGCCGCCCTGGAGCCCCAGAGCCTCCAGGCTGGTCCCCAGGAAAGGTGGGCTGGGTCTTTCTCAGCTGGAGGAGGGAGCTTGTGTCAGGAGGACCCAGAGGGACTGTGCTTTTGCGCTCAGTCTACCTGCTGGGCCGGGCTGGAGCCACTTCCTTCCTTCTGACCACAGTCAAGGTCCCAGGGCCCAGCTACATCCCAGGCCTGGAACTTTCCTGGTGTTCCAGTGGTTAAGAATCCACCTCCTAATGCAGGGAATGCAAATTCAATCCCTGGTCAGGGAACTAAGATCCCACCTGCTGTGGGGCAACCTAGCCCATGTGCCACAACCAGAGAGCCGGCGTGATGCACTGAAAACCCAGCACGGCCAAAAAGAAAAAAACCCAAGAAACAAAACCCCCAAACCATCACCCCAGGCCTGACATGAGGCAGAAGAGAGGCGTCAAGGCTGCCGTCTCTCCTGCTGGTCAGTTTTGGGGGTTGCAGAGTGGAGCCTGGCGAGGACGAGATCCTGGAGGTTGCCCTGGCTCAGCCCTGGGGGAAGAGAAAGGAAAAGCCAACAAGAAAGGTGGTTTATTATTCTCAGAACTGCACATAACGGCAGGAGCTTCTTTCAAGACCAGAGATGAGGACATTCCCTTCTCGGTTTTGGGGCTTTGGTAAGGAGACTCATTACCAAAGTATACAAGTTCCTCAGGAGGCAAGTAAGGTGGTCTGATAGTTCCATACCTTTAAGAACTTTCCAGTTTGTTGTGATCCACACAGAGGCTTTACTGTAGTCAATGAGGCAGATGACTTTGGAATTCCCATGCTTTTTCTATGATCCAATGGATGCTGGCAACTTGATCTCTGGTTCCTCTGCCTTTTCTGAATCCAGCTTGTACATCTGGAAGTTCTCAGTGCATGAACTGTTGAAGCCAAGCTTGAAGGGTTTTTGAGCATTACCTTGCGAGCATGTGAAATGAGGACAATTGTATGGTAATTTGAATATTCTTCTTTGGAATTGGAATGTAAACTGACCTTTTCCAGTCCTGTTGCCACTGCGAGTTTTCCAAATTTGCTGACATATTGAGTGCCGCACTTTAACAGCACTGTCTTTTAGGATTTGAAATAACTCAGCTGGAATTCCATCACCTCCACTGGCTTTGTTCGTTGTAATGTTTCTTGAGACCCATTTGACTTCACACTCCAGATGTCTGGCTCTAGGTAAGTCATCACATCCTCATGGTAATCCAGGTCATTAAGACTTTTTGTATAGTTCCTCTGTGCATTCTTGTCACCTCCTCTTAATATCTTCTGCTTCTGTTAGGTTCTTACTCTTTCTGTCCTTCCCCATGCCCATTCTTGCAGGTACTATTTCCTTGATCTCTCTAATTTTCTTGAGGAGGCCTCTAGTCTTTTCCATCCTATTGCTTTCCCCTATTTCTTTGCATTGTTCACTTAAGAAGGCTTTCTTATCTCTCCTTGCTGTTCTCTGGACTCTGCATCCAGTTGGGTGTATCTTTCCCTTTCTCCTTTGCCTTTCACTTTTCTTCTTTTCTCAGCTGTTTTCAAGGCATTCTCAGACAACCACTTTGCCTTCTTGCATTTCTTTTTCTTTGGGATGGTTTCGGTCACTGACTCCTGTACAATGTTATGAATCTCTGTCCATAGTTCTTCAGGCACTCTGTCTAACAGATCTAATCCTTTGTATTTATTCATCACTTCCACTGTATAGTCATAAGGGGTTTGATTTAGGTCCTACCTGATTGGCCTAGTGGTTTTCCCTACTTTCTTCAATTTAAGCCAAAATTTTGCAATAAGGAGCTCATGGTCTGAGCCACAGTCAGCTCCAGGTCTTGTTTTTGCTGACCGTATAGAGCATGTATACAAATACATATATAAATTAATATCTTCACTGTAGATATATTGAAAGATGAGAGCAGGATAATACTTACTAATGTGTGTGTGTGTGTGTGTGTGTGTGTGTGTGTATGTGCGTGTGTTTGTGTGCATGTGAGTGTGGTATGCTCAGTCATGTTTGACTCTTTGTGACCCTATGGACTGCAGCTCTTGGCTCCTCTGTCCATGGGATTCTCCATCCAAGAATACTGAAGTGGGTTGCCATTCCCTTCTTCAGGGAATCTTCCTGACCCAGGGATTGAACTCAGGTCTCCTGCATTGCAAGAAGATTCTTTACCGTCTGAGCTACTAGGGGCTTCCCCTTCTCAAGGCTCTGGGCCACTAAAGACACAGATGTTACCTGAGGTCTCAGGTGTCCTGACTTCGGGGCTGACTTTACAGATGTGCTACCTTCCACCCTCAGAAGGTTGCCCCTGCTTGGTCTAATGTTCTGCTGTTGCTTTCTTATAATTCTTAATAATTTTTGAACAATGCACTTGCATTTGCCTTTTGCATTGAATCTTGCAAATTACCTGGCCTGCCTATGCCTCTATTATTTTTCACCGTTTCCATGAGAGCTTGAGATGTCTTTTTCCTTTTCAGATGTTTGAGGGATGCTTATTGTGGGGGAATGCCTGGATTGCAAAAGTTGGAGCCTATTTCATGATGTTTGATTCTAAAGTCAAAAAAGAAAAGGAGCTTCTAATATATAAGGGCAACATTAAAATTACAAGGAGAAAACTCATAACTAAAAAAAAAAGAGTGAATAATTGTATTACAAACTATCATGTCAGAGCAAGATAAAGATACTTAGTAGACAGCAAGATGAAATCAGCAGCATGAATTCATGACCTTTCAAAAAACATTTGTTTTCTATTTTGTCACTGAAGCAACCTAAGTCCCTGGGCTACTCTGCTCTCTCTTTAGTGCTCAGGTGAAATAAGATGATGTCCACTCAAGTGCTGACATTTTGTTCTGTCTTACTAATTTCTACTTAAAATAATCAGGGTTCCTGGAGAGATGATAACTCCATGCTGGCAGTGAAAGCCTTAAGATGAACTTGGGGTATCCTGTAATCTTACTCCCTGGAAAATTCAACAATGTATGTTTAGCTTAGCAAAGCAGGAACCATGAACCAATGTGGATTTATTTTCTAAAGACAATTCTCACCTTATTAAGCTCATAGTTGAGGGAAATGATTTTTGCAAACTATTTGACAAAATTATGTAATATCCTTGTAAATAAAGAAATGTGGATTAGATTTTAAGACAACTATTTGGATTTAGAGCTCGCTAAAATAGATTAAATAGATGCTTTACAAATGGGCAGGAGGAACTCAATGGTGTTTGGACCTAATCCTTTTAACTCAACATTTCTATTAAAAACTATGACGTACCTATGAAATTTAGAGATGACACAAAGTTATGAGGGTCAGGCAACCTGCCCTACAACAAGACAAGATTCCAAAAGATATTTTCAGGTTGGAACAATGTATGTACGAGGATCACTTGAAGTTGAGTAAAAATAGACATAAAAATCACTTATATTTAACAAATGAACACAAAGCATAATGAGAAAAACTCAATTTTTTTAAAGTTTCTATAAGGTGGATGGAGGGTTGTTAGTTCACTTAAAAGTCAAAATGAATCAACAGTGTGATACAGACAAGTTTTTTTTAAGGAACACTATCTTAGGCTGCATTATTGAAGTGTCTAAATCAGGGGTCAGAAAGCCTTCTTGCTGAAGGGTCACAAAGTAAATATTTGAGGCCTGGTAGGCTACGCAGTCCCTGTCATATACTTAAACCTGCTGTCCAGCATGAAAGCGAGCAGAGAAAATACATAAAGAAAGGAGTGTGACTGCACTCCTATGACACTATGGACACAGATTTGAATTTCTGAGCATTTTGCATTTAATCAAAATATTATTTTGATTAAAAAAAACATTTAGAAATGCATCCTCCTTCCATGGGCTTCCCAGGTGGCACTAGTGGTAAAAGACATGCCTGCCAATGCGGGAGACAAAAGAGACAGCTGGAGGAGATAATGGCAATGCACTCCTGGGAAATCCCATGGAGACAGGAGCCTGGCAGGCTACAGTCCATAGGGTCGCAAAGAGCTGGACATGACTGAAGCGACTTAGCATGCAAGCAAATACCTCCTTCCATCTGCCAAAAAGGTAGAATCAATTCTTAGCTTGTGGCTATAACAACAACGAGAGGCAGGTAGACAGGGCTGGTGGCCATGGTTCACTGAACCTGGTCTAGATCTAAAGACACTCTCCTCTGCCTGGTCATAATACTCCTGGAGAATGAGGGCCGTTTCTCCAGGGCGATGACGTGGGGGAACCGGACACGCTTGCTCCATGGAGGAGACTAAGGAGGGGTACTGCGGATGCTCACTCAGAGGGCTGTCGTGTGAAAAGAAGGTCCTTTCCCGGTGGTGGCTACGGACCAGGAGTAAGGAGAGAACCTACATGGAGGCAGACTTAGCTCCATGTGAGTAAGAAGCTCCTATCTGAGCTGCCCCATCCTAGGACAGGCCACCTCTTAAGGCAGATAGTGCACAGCATCTTTGGACAAACGCTGCTGGAGAGATTGTCAACAGCAGAGGGGGAGGAGGAAGCGGGACAATTCAGAAATGTGTACTCAGCAAACCTCACCTTCAAAAATCCTCAGAACTTCTTGATTAATATACTTCTTTATTTCTTCAAATGAAACCACATCAGCCTAAAGAAGAGGAAGAAAAAGGTCTGTTAATACAGAGCCTAGCACAAATGAATAAAGAAGAGAAGCAGTGGATTGGCATGCATGCGTAAAACGTCTGTAGAGATCCACTGATCAAGCAAAATAGTTTTGTCCTTTGTTCTAATCCCTGGATAGTGGTAAAGTCCATATCTAGCCAATTCTATCATGTGTCTTCAAAGGATGAGAACTCTAACTGGGCTGATTCTTTAACATGTTTCATTCATGAGCTAAAGCTTACTAAGTTTTACCCACTTCACGGTCAAGTTTATTTTGCAATTTACACACTGCAAGCAAACCTGTATTCAGCAATTTTCTTTTCCTTTTACAATTTTTATTTATTTAATTTTGGCCGTACTGGGTCTTTACTGCTTCGTGTGGGCTTTCTCTATTTGTGGCGATCGGGGACTGCTCTTGAGTGGCGGTGCTCGGGTTTCTCATTGGTAACTTCTCTTGGTGAGGAGCATGGGTTCTGGGGTAGACAGGCTTCAGCAGCTGTGGCACATGGGCTCACAGGTTGTGGTACATGGGTTTAGCTGCTTCATGGAATGTGGGATCTTCCCGGACCAGGGATTAAACCTGCATTGGCAGGTGGACTCTTAAGTCTGAAATTTTCCTGATAGAAAATGCTGTGGAGTCTGGCAAAGGGAAGTATGTAGATGATGCCACCTGACTTTTTAACCTCTTTACAAATAAATCTACATGAATTTGACCAAGAGCCTAACATTTATAATAGCATTTGACATTTACAATAGTAATGTTTTATTTCAGGACCTTGATAGTTTTAAAAGGGAGCTATTATTTTTCACAGTGGTTAAGGCTTCAAAGTATGTTGTTACTCTGCTTTGCATTTGGTGGTTACTATCCACGGATACATGTGCGGCATTAAAGACAGTATGATGTGTTCGCAGAGTGAGAGCTTCTGTGGGACTTCACAGTATTTCATTTTCATTGTTTGAATGAATGCATCTAGTACCACAGGCTGGCGCAGCACTGAGAGTTCGCTGCTCAGGCTTGATTTAAGCAGAACACAGCGAGAGTGGGTGAGAGAGTATGGTGGGAACACCCAGTTCGGCCCAACCTCTGGACTTAGCTGTTTATCAGGGGACAGCATGTCCTTCATTTTCTGGTCTCACACTAGGACTGCCCCCCCTCCCCCCTTCTTCCTGAAGAGGACATACTCTGACTCAGTTCCTCTGCAGAATGGCCATCCACCACCTCCTGAGGATGCTTATAAAGACACGGGCCTCCTTAGCCAGATACTCTCTTGGGCAAATGGGTTTCCACTTCAAAGCACCACTCAGGGCAGATTCGTTGTTCTGACAGTCAACAAAATGGAGTTTTAACATAGATAGATGTGTGTTTTCCGTGTAGTGGAAGGGGCTACCATCGATCGTATTTGAGGGCAAGGCCCTGGAGTCGGTCAGAGCTGGGTCTGTCTGACCCCTAGATCACTGTGAGCCTGGACAGGTCGGAGTTCGGCTTCTGCATTTGTCAAGGTGGAAGGTGAGGTCACCTGTCCTCTCAGGTTAGTTGTGAGGATCTAAGGAGGGAATGTTCAGTGAGTACTCAGCGTGGGACCTGGCACATCACTTGAAGTAAATGACATGATTGCTGCGCTTGTAGAGGCCAGCTTAGGTTCATTTTATCTGGAAAGGTTTATGACTTGCAGTCCCAGCCAGGAGCTCCAGGAGCTCTCTGCCCACTTACCGGGGAGCCAGGGAGGCCGGGGAGGCCTGGCAGGCCCTGATGCCCAGGGGACCCTGGGGAGCCCTTGTTTCCTGGGGGCCCCACAGGACCTATGGCCCCCTTTATCCCTTGAAGGCCTGGTTTTCCTTGTTCACCTTGTGGGCCTCGGTCTCCTGGAATTCCCTGATCACCCTGTTGGGAAAAAAACGAATTAGAATGATCTCTTCTAGAACCATGTTAGCAAAGGTTCTGGATTCATACTGGCATGTGTTAGCTGTGGAGCCTTTGGTAAGTGGATTAAACTCTCTGCACCCTGCTTCCTGTCCCTAAAGGGGGGCTGTTAGCAGTATCCACTGAATAGAAGATGCTGAGAAGTGAGTTAACTTGGCACTCAGAAAGCGCTCAGCTCCAAGTCAGTGACGAGCTAACTTGCACCCCGTTGTCAGTCCAGACTGACGGCATTTCTGAAAGTCCACAGTGGCGCTGCCACTTCAGGCCTGGGTCTCCTTTGCGATAACAGAGGACGATGGCTAAGAAGAGTTCATCACTGAAAGCTTCCATTTGGAAAAGCTTCAGGACGCTCAAAATCTCTCCTAAATCAGGTACTTTATTCTTTTTATGCTTTCTCCTGTATGTTTGGTCTTTGTTAGTTTCTGTGGGTTGATTTTGGCACTCATGATTTACCCATGTGTGCACTTGCATGTGTGTGTATGTGTGAGTGCATTCTATGTCCTAAAGGGACGTGACTGAGGAAGGTGAGAAAAAACAGCCTTTGGGAATGTTCAAAGCAGGTGACTCGGGTGGAAGGTCATTACTGAGATCATTTACTCAATAATGTAAATGAACTATAAGAAAATTCATTGAATGAGATGCTGTAACAAATTAGATGTGCTTGAATCTGAGAAGTTTCTTTAATGCTGACTTTTTCCTGCAAGGCGTTTACTACATATAAGTTTGTGCATGAGAGTATGAAAGAGCAAGGGAGAGGGAGAGAGAGAGAGAGAGAGATGGAATATAAATGAATGAATATGTGTGTATGTTGGCAGATATTTCAGTTTCTGCATTTCAAATATTAGTTCCACAGCTCCAGGAGGTGATGATCACACTGAATATGAAAGATTGGTGCATTAACCTGCCCCGTATTTTACTGTTATTCTTCTATTTGTGATTCTTCTGCAAAAGTTCAAACTCTATTTTTCCTGATTTAAAAAATAATGAAATGAATGAATAGTTACTGAGATCTATCTGATCCTAAATGAAGAGATATAGAATGAAGCCATGCACAAAGAAGAAAATCATTTGGACCTAATTTAAATTCTACTGCCTTAGTTATAAAAAAATATGTCTGATACAAGTATATCAACCCAGGTCACATTTGTAAAAATATCTGAGATGAATAAGACAAAAAAAAAAAAAAAAAGAGAGAAACAGAAGAACTGCTAGCACACCTTGAGTATATGCAAAATAAACACAATTAAAATTATTTATAATTTAGGTACAAGGATGTTTATTATAAAAACTAGAAAGAACCTAAATATCCCAGAAAAAGGGGCAAGGTATTTTCCACATACCTTGGAGAAGGTATATCCAAATACTGGAATAACATATAGCCACTAAAAGGTCTGTGTGGATCTAGGTTTTCTGACGTGGAAAGATGGTCATCATATGTTAGGTGAAAAGAGTCATTTACCAAAAAGTATGAACCCATTTTTTTAAAAAGTATATGCTCACTTGCATCGATGCATTAAGCAAACATGTATATTACATTATGTATAACAGTGAGATGGAAATAGGCCCAAAATATCAATAGTGCTTATCTCTGTGTAGTGAAATAAGGTAGACTTTTTTCTTTTTTCTTTATGGTTTCTCTATTTTTGTATTTCCTTCAGTTATCATGGATTATTTGTGTGGTGGTAGTGGTGGTTCAATAATCAAGTCATGTCTGGCTCTTTGTGACCCCATGGAACCCTTGTGACCCCATGTGACCTGCCAGGCTCCTCTGTCCATGGGATTTCCCAGACAAGAATACTGGAGTGAGTTGCCATTTCCTTCTCCAAGGGGTCTTCCCAACCCAGGGATCAAACCTGGGTCTCCTACATTACAGGCAGATTATTTGCCACTGAGCCACCAGGGAAGCCAGATTATTTGTGTAAGGATAAGTAAAATAGACACCAGTACATAAGAACATGCCCCCCCCCCCCCCCCGCCACAAGCCCTCACCAGAACCCCTAAATAACAATGCTCAAGGAACCTGTGGCTAAGGAATAAATCCAATTCTAGTTGAAAATGTTAAGGTTTCTTAGAGAAAATAATGGGAAGTTGCAACATTGATATCAACAACCAAAACAACATCACTAAAAGCATGCACCAGAACTGGCATTACTGGTAGCTCTATATGTCTTTCTCTACCTCCGACCCCAGCCCCTTATTCAACCAAGCATTATTCCTCCAGACTGGGGGTGGGGGTGTCCTCAGCGACACCTCTGCTCCCTGGGAGGCATGTGGAAATGCAAGGTGACAGTTCTGGAGGGAGGCTGATGGTACAGCGTCTAGTGGGTGGAGGCCAGGCATGCTGCTAAACATTTTAACAAAGCGTGGGATGCGCACCTATGACGAAGAATTATTGCCCCCAAACATCAACAATGCTGAGGTGGAGAAACCCTACTCTAGGTGAAAAGCACATGGGTGATGGGTACAGTGGGTCATGTATCTGACACAGGAGGCTGATAGGAGCTTTCCAAACTGGGATCACAAACCAGACATAGTTGTGAATCAAGGCCAAGCAGGTAGGCGTAACTGCCCTAAGGCCTACTGCTGGGTCCCCGAATGGCCCTGTTTTATGCCTGGCAGAGATCCTGGCTCATGTACATGGTAAGTTTTTTCATATCAGGAGATTTCTAGCAGGTCTAAAAATATCATGGTGTAATTTGAATGATGGGGCAGTTGTGGAGATGGACTTAACAGTCATAGTAGGGATGTACATACCCGTTCTCCTTTGGGGCCTCTCTCTCCAGGCTTACCCATGATGCCCTGAAAAACAAATGTCAGCACTAAAAATCACTGCCTGCCAAGATTCCTCATCAATCGACTCCACCAGGAATTCTGGCAGGCGATCTGGATGTAGTTTTGCATTAGAATATTTATTTTCAATGGCATTTTCCATACCTGAACACCTGGTAATCCATCTTTCCCATTTATTCCCTGTAAAGACAAATAATGGTCAGTATTTCTGATTCTGCATTAACAGAAATAATTAAATGCAACAAAAGGGTAAAGTTTCAAGGACTTTATCACATCGCCACCGAGATTTTGGTGAGACAGTGTGGTGAAATAGAAAACAAAACCGACAGAATCTGCCCCAAGTTTAAATTCTGACTCTATAACTTACAAGTTCCATTTACTTCAGGCAATTTACTTAACCTTAATAGCATCAGCTTCTCCACTCACAAAGTGAGGATAAATAATGGCCTTAAAACTAGGAATTTAGGGAAATAACAGAAAATGCCTAGCTCACTATAGTCAACAGGGTTGTTTTCCTCACTTATTACGTTAGGTCCATTCTGAGAAATAAGAAGACTTCCCATGGTGCTGGGTGGCCAGTATATGATATTCATTGCTCACTTTCAACAATTAAGACAGTCATTCTCAGTAAATGGCCTCTATTGTTGCTTGATAAATTCATAACATGGCTACAGCCTGATCCTGCTATGAAATAAACTGTCAGCCAGAGACAACTGCTATTTTTCAGTTGAAAAATATGAAAGGACAGTGAGAAATTTGTAATTGTGCTTTCTGAGAGTATTAAATACTGGTTTCTTCTTAGTAAACTGGAAGCTTCTCAAACTCTACAAGGCAGTTCCATAGTTGATAAAAAAGCCTAGTCCTGCTTGCAGATTCGTGAGCCCAGGAGAAGCCCCGGCTGGGGAAAGCACTCAGGATCACATCAGATACTGAGAGAGCCACAGCAGGTTTGTCTCTGAACTTTGACCTGAAGAGGGAGACCAAGGCGAGGAAGTGATTTCTCGGCAGCAGGCAGCCGCAGGGACTCCCTCCTCTGCAAAGCCTGGGAGACTTTCGCTGGGCTGGGACGGAGTCTACGAGGATGGATCTTCCGACAAACAGTGTTTTCACTGCTGTAATCACACTGGGTTGGGAACCTAGCCCACTCCCCCAAGCTCCCTGAAAATCCTGGGAATTACCTAGAGCACTTTAACTAAGACCATGTTGCCTGAAACATCGAGTTCTAAGGATTCATGCCATCCAGAAACACAAGCAAAAGATAAAGCTGGTTAAGGAGACGATGTGAAAGAAACAACCATGTCATTTGAATAAGAGAAGATAAACCTGGTGTAAAAATGTAATTCACGTTTTTGGTAGCAATACGAGAAAATGAACAAACTTCTAGATAATTTCCTGTCTTTTGTAATTCATTAGTGACTGTCATATGCGTTCTCTTTTCTCCGCTAGTGCTGCTTCATTGCTTCAGTCATGGCCAACTCCCGCGACCCCATGGACTGCAGCCCACCAGGCTCCTCTGTCCATGGGCTTCTCCAGGCCAGAAAACTGGAGAGGGTTGCCATGCCCTCCTCCAGGGGATCTTCCCAACCCAGGGACCACACCCGCGTCTCCTGCATTGCAGGCAGATTCTTTACCACTGAGCCACCAGGGAAACCTGTCTCTTTTCTCTATGAAGATGTTATTAATTTGCTCTTTATCACCAGTAGGGGGTGGGGAAGGTCCTGGTTTCAGAAATTTTTACAAAAACCTCAATGGATTTACCTTTCTCCCTCTCATTTCACTTATCTGAAAGACCCCTACGCTTCTTTCTAACTCAGGTGTCCATCTACCACACACCTGCATCTGAGCAGTGGCCTGAGGTTGAAGAAGAAGGGGGGCCCTTGCTCAGGTGTTCTGGTCAGCACACCTGTGGCAGCAGCTCCCAAGCAACCCCTCGATATTTCTCGACTTGACTGCTTCTTTCCAAAAGTACCTGCACCTATTTTCCTGTCTCATGAAACCTCCAGCATTACCAGCATTACCAGCCCATTCCTCATGGTCAGTGATGACTTGCATCCTTCACGGAGAAAACAGCAGTAGGGGACCCACTCACCATTCTGCCTCCAGCCCCACCCACCTGTGCTCATAACTCTGACTTCTGCTCCTCCCTCCTCTTAAGAAGGAGGTTCTGCCCGTTCCTTGTGAAGACCAGTTTCCACGTGTGAGTCTTCTCTCCTGACTCAGAGCCCACTCTCTTGTATCTTCCAATGTTCCCTTTCTTTTTTTTAATATCATTAGTCCTTCTTTTTTTATATTTGTGGCTTAGCTGGTAAAGAATCTGCCTGCAATGCAGGAGACCTGGGTTCGATCCCTGGGTTGGGAAGATCCCCTGGAGAAGGGAAAGGCTACCCACTCCAGTATTCTGGCCTGGAGAATTCCATGGACTGTGTAGTTCATGGGGTCGCAAAGGGTCTGACACGACTGAGCGACTTTCACTTTTCATTCATTGATGAAGGGGCCTCTGGTGCTGTGTGTGGACGCTCACTGGTAGCAGCGCACAGGCTTCTCATTGCAGTGCTTCTGCTGCCGCGGAGAACGGGCTCTAGGCATTCAGGCTTCAGTAGTTGCGGCTCACAGCGTGGACTGAATTGCTCTGTGGCACGTGGGATCTTCCCAGATCAAGGATGGAACCCACGTCTCCTGCATTGGCAGGCAGATTCTTAACCACAAGACCACGAGGAAAGTTCTCAACCAGGTCATTCTTATCACGACACCATCATGCTGTACGCTCTCCCCCAGTGATGCCTGCGTTTCCAAACCCAGGGGAGAATTTTAAGCTCCCTTGATACTCTTCCATGCGGTTTCCTCTCCATTCTCTCAAACACTTGGCTCCCTCCACATACAGGAACTCTCCTTCGCCCGGCCTTCTCCACCTCTCACTGGCTGCCCCTTCTCAGTCCGTCGGCCAGAGCCTCTCCTAGTGTCTCTGTTCTCTTCCCAGTTCACAGTGACCTCATTTCATCCAGGCTCAGGTTGAAAGGCCCAAATTAGTCTCTGCAGTCCTGGCCTCTCCATTAATTCCAGAAGGATCCACCGCTTACTTGACACTTCCACTTAGCAGTCTACTAGTGCTTCAAGATGAACATTTTATAGCAGCAAACTCCTGGTTTTTCCTCCCACATTCACCCATCTCCCGTCCTTCCGGTCTCACCAAATGTACCACACTGACCAGGCTGCTCAGACTCCAAACCACAGCTTTGCTGTATCTCTTTCTCACCCACTGCATCTGGCCCATCAGCAAGTACTGACGGCTCTGCCTTCAAGACACATCATGCCAAAGCTTCCTCAAGGGTCTGTCTGCTTCCACCCTTCTCCCTATCGTCGGCTCTCCAGGCAGGAGTTAGAGTGGTCCTCGAAAATGCAGTCCAGTCACTTCCTTACCCGCTACAAATGCTCCAATGGGTCTCCATCAGACTTCAAATGAAACCCGAACTGCCTCCCTGACTCAGAAGTTCCTCACAGTCTGGCCACTGCCTGCCTCTCCATGTCTCTCCTGATCTCCTTCAGCTCACCTTCCTCCTGACTTTGTGCCTTCTGCCCTTCCTTCAACGCGGCAGGTTCTGCTAGCCTTTCCTTTTTCTCGAAACAATGTCCCCATCCCTGCTGTCTCCCTGACCTCCCCATGGCTTGAGCTCTCCCATCATACAGGGTTTGCGCCAATGCTGGACCCTGTCTGACCGCCCTATTGAAATGCTACTCCAGGGCTTTACCCTGCTTAGATCATCTTCTATCTGAACCATGCCTGTTTGTTTTTGGTTCGTATCCCTATACTAGAGTATAAATCCGAGGAGCTGCAAGCACCCGGAACAGTGCCTGGCATGTCACAGGTGCTCAAGAAGCATTCACTGATTGAATAAATTGCTTTTTGCATAACTCCCTGGGAACGCGATGGCATCTGAGAGAATCTGACAGGGGTTGGGATGGGGAGTTGGTAAAAGGCAGGGGAGAGGAGGTGGAGATTGAGACGAATGTTAACGGACCACCTTCCCTGGCAGGCACTGGACATCGCACCATGCCGTGTCACCTCAGTGACTCACAAACCCTTGGAGTCGTATCGCAAACCCAGATCTCCCTGACTCTAAACTGCATATACTTTTGGTTTTTTCACGTTGCGCCTCTGGGGAGCTGGTGGCCAGGGAATGCCCCAACCCTGAGGTTTCACAGGGACGGAGCAGCCTCCTGAATTCTGTGCTGTTTGGTCACCTTCAGCCACCCCCTTCCTAACAGCAACCTGTTCCCACCCAATCCATGGTACAGAAACCAGCAGAGGGAGCAGGGACGTCTATAAAGAGCACCCTGGCTATTCCTCTATCTGCCCCCTCCCTCACGGCCCCGCACACCCTTAGCACATGGCAAGGGTGGGCTGAATGAACTGAATATGTTCTGTCTGCTTCATATGTTGAGTGAACTGAATTAATCAGAATGACTGTTACAACGTCATATCAATGTTATGTCTCAGTAGCCAAGAGCTCTTTTAGGACATGAGTGGGTGATGCATTTGGCAGTGATTAACGAAGGTGTAAGGACAAGTCCACAGATAAAGGAGGGAACCTGAGACAGAGCCTCTTTCTACTGTAGCTCCACACACAGGTGTTAAATCTGCGAGTCTGCCTATTTCAGGATATGACAGGCCATTTCACTTTTCACTCGGCTGAGAATATTAGACCTAAGAAATAATGAGTCTAATTTCTTGACACTTAAAATAAAAGGCCTCACTGTTCCCATGGTGATTTAAGACATACTCACAGGGAGCTGGGCCCTCAGGGAGAACCACACCCCAAGAAGCCAGTGGCAGACCTGCTCTCACTTCCTCAGAAACTATGTATTCAAATCTCACTTTCCGAGGTGACAAGTAAAGAGGCAATGCTGAGAACTTTTCTTAAACAGGCAAATTTTAAATAATGAAAAAGACTTACAGGCTTTCCTGAGGGTCCCTCTGGTCCAGGGAAACCTACGTCTCCAGCAGGGCCTCTCTCCCCCTGTAGACATGTCCACAGACAAACATCAGTTGCCAAGAAAAGCTTTAGAACTGCATGCAGTCAACATAAGGACAACCGCCAGGGAAGAAACAGGAACTCACCGGTTCTCCCGGAATTCCTGGGGGGCCTGGGGCTCCGGGCTTCCCCTGAGGAATCAGATCACCGGAAGTGTTAGGCGCTAAATTACTGAACAAGGCCACGTGTTTTCCTTCCACACCCGCGTGTCAGCACCTGTGCTGCAGGTGTGGTTCTACACTGATGCACCACCCCCGCTGGACGGAGTCTGGGGACCACACTCCACCGTGCAGATAGGAAGGCAGTCCCTCAGTGCATGTGTGGGTGTCCACCAGAGACCACTGGGCAAGACGGGAGTGGGAGTCGGACCAGCGCAGGTAGCAGTGGGCCGAGCCCAAGTGTCCAGACCAGGCCTGAGGATCCTGTCCTTGAGAAGCCACCTCCTCCCCTTGAACCTCATGTGGATGGGGATGTTGGTGTGGGGCTGAGACCATAGAAATCCTAGCAGGTTTCCAGGGAAGGAAACCTGGGCTTTTTCTCTACTTGCTGGCAGCTCCTTGGCAGGTCAGCGATGGCTGAGTGGTGAAGGGAGGCAGACGCAGGCCTGAGATAGCATCCTGGGCCCCCACTGCCCAAGTGTGGCAGGAGTTCCTGAAATCTCGTGGACCCGAGTTGGGGCATGCGTTAGAGCTGAGAAAGCCAGTGTCCCAAAGGGCCTTGGCATGGACTCAGGGGCGCAGGGAACTCGCGCCTGGAGCTCCAGATGAAGATCCCAAAGGCCAGGCAGCCCCAGCAGGGACCTCAGAGCACCTGGGGCGGGAACGGTGCCCCCGGTATGCACCTGCCCTCCCAGGAGGGAGGGGAGGAAGGCCACGGGAAGGCTCTGGATGGCCTGTTTACACAATAGGAAGGGACAGACTTCTAGGCGGAGCAGGGCTGGGCCTCTGGTTCTCAGCAGAGGTCTGTGATGTGCAGAGCAAGTGGAACATCCCTGCTTCAACCAGAACCATCACCTTAAAATTTTTTTTTTTAATTGTGGTGAAACATACATAACGGGAAATCTACCATTTTAACCATTTTATGTGTACAATTTAGTGGTATTAAGTACACTCACACTGGTGTGTAGCTATTTCCAGAGTCTTTGAACTATTTCATTTTCTGAGCCACAGTAAGGTCCAGTTATAAAAACTAAAGTAACAGTTTTGAAACTTTTTTAATAGCCAGTTTTTATATATATAGCATGCATTTTTTTAACCCTTCCCCATTTTTGTAACTGTCAGTTAATCTTAATGATGAGATATGAAAACTGCATTTTAGGTAAATGCATTAGATCTACGCAAACAAGTGGCAGGGCAGCCTCTAATTTCAATCATGCTGCATCCTTCAAAAATATTCTTGGAATTATTCATTTGGATTGTCTTTTGAGTCTGTCACTGATCTTTTAAATACTTCAGTGGTTGCTAGTATTTTTGCTTTTATGGCAGACTTAGTTGAACATAATTTAGAGTCCCACCTGGATGAATACAGTAGGGCATTACACTTCACCATGCCATAGGGAAACAAAAATGGGGTGTGAATATGAGAGATGCAGGTTGTAAGGGGACCCAAGGCGATCCCAAAGGCAGGTACCAATATGTTGCTAGGAACAGTAGAGCTGGGGAGGAACAGGATTAACTGTGAGCCAGTTTTCAAGAAGAACGCTTTCTGGTATAAAAATTCTTGGGTGGTATCACTGACTCAATGGACATGAATTTGAGTAAACTCCTGGAGATAGTGAAGGACAGGGAAGCCTGGTGTGCTGCAGTTCATGGGGTTGCAGAGTTAGACAGGACTTAGTGACTGAACAACAAAAACTCTGCAGTGCTTGCTAAATAAAGTATTTTCATGTGACTTTTACAATCACACTAAGACTGCTGCTGCTAAGTCACTTCAGGACTTGACCTAAAACAAGTCAGGAAGGGGGTGTCATCCTCCATACAGGATGCCTCTCTATGGAGTGTGCTAGTCACTCAGTCGTGCCTGACTCTTCGCCACCCCATGGACTGCAGCCCACCAGGCTCCTCTGCCCATGGGATTTTATAGACGAGGACACTGGAGGGGTTTGCTGTGTGGACGGGTCTTTATTTTTTATTGTTAGGTTTAGCAATGAGACAGAGGGAAGCAGGGTGGCTGCTGGCCTTTTGAGGATGGGGGGAGGATTGTTGGGAGGCTCTGGGTGCTGGTGGGTGTTGGCAGAGGTCAGTGGGTGGTGCAGAGATGGTAGGGCCCTTTCTTGTCTTCCTCACGTTCCTGTGATTGAAGCACAGGGCTTCCACTGACTTTCCTACCCTGGCTCACCCTGCAGGGCACCTGGTGAGGATAAATGGGCTCTTATTCATAAAGCCTGACCACAAAATTTTAATTAGCGCATCATGAATGAAGATCAAAATGATCCCCAGGGCTCTGAGAAATGATTTTAACCTTTCCTGGTGCACTTCCTATTCATTTGAAAAGACCTTGATGAGATTTAAAACATTTGACACCAGAGAGCAACAAAAATGATTGAGAGGCTTAAAGGGCTAGTTTATGAGGAAACATTAGCAGCAATAAAGCTCCGCTAATAACACCAGGCTGGGGGAAAACTCAGGCAGATGGCAGCTTAATACGAAGATACTGAAGCACATTGCCTGAGGATGAGAACTTTGCCTTCTGAAGATTAGGAAACCTTGAAATATTCTAAGAATAGAGAAACCCAACAAGTTTCTCAGACCTGTGTGGTACTGATGCATTGGCACAGGTAATGGGCTTTCCCTCTGCACGTGAAAGTTGAGTTGGGAAGAAAAAAATAAAGGAAAAAGTTTAAAAGATGAACATAAAGGCAGGAGCATTCTTGAGGTGGGAGAGAAACAGGTGGGTTTAAAAAAACTTTTTGGGTTTTGTTTCTTAAACTGGGAGTTTCAGGAGTCAGCCAGTGCTTCCAGCCCTTTTGGCGGCTGGTACCTGTGAGAACAACGTGAGATAGACTGAACTCACCGAGATTCCTGCCGCTCCTGGGGGACCTGCCGGCCCTCGATCTCCCTGAAAAAAACATGTACTGCTTAGAATCAACCTATTCAGTCTCCACTGCTAACACTGATGCTCAAATACTAATTTATAAGTTCTCTTCGGAACTTATAAATGTTGTCGATATTAGCTGGTGTGAAGCTAGAGGCCAGATGGGGAAAGGACAAAATAAGAACTGCAGCCAGTGGAACCTACTAAAGACTTCTCTCTCTCTTTTTCCCCATAATACCAAAGCAAATAATAGTACTAATGAAAACAAGCATTTACGGTATCATTTCTGTTAACCTATTCTTTAAGACAGAACCCCATAATACTTACAGGTAAAATTAGCCAATACTTTTATTCCACATATTCAAAAGTAACTTATTACCAATAATTAAAAGACTAAGGCCTCGAATGTCTTCTGAAAAGCTTTCAATAGACTTGTCTCATTGGATGTAGGGTTAAAATGATGTGTTTAGAACTAAGGATTTTGTGGTTTCTCCTCATGAGGCCAATAAGACCCCTGGAATTTCTCTAAACAGTGGAATGACTCAACCTTTTTTTCCAAAGGCAATGTGGTATTTTAGATAAAGCTGACAAGGCTAAAAATACTTATGGTTATATATAGGGCAGTAAAATGGCAATTTTTGTTGGGCAGAGTCGACATTAAAAAACTTCGTAAGTTCACTGAGGGACATAAAAGAAGATTTGATTAAATGGAGAGAGATGTTTTGCTCTTGGAGGGCAAGACAGCGTTGTAAAGGTGTCATTGCGCCCAAACTAATTTATAAATTTAATGCAATTTTTACAAATTGCAGCTTGATCAAATGATATTAAAGTTCACTTTGGATAATAAATATATTTGAGGATAAGAGGAAAAGTTAAAGAAGAATAATAACGACATTAGTGATACCATATTTCAGCAGGCAATAAAGCTATAATAATTGAAATATGGAATATTGGCCCAAGATTAAGCAGTATATCAATGCAATATAACAGAAACTTCAGGAACAGACCAACATATATAATAGGGTTTTAGTAAAGAAAGGGCTGTATTATTCAACAAATAGTGCTAATAATTAAATAATTTCTTGGAAAAAGTCTAATTCCTCTCTTTACAGTATACTCCATATAAATTCTGTAAGATTAAACATAAAACTGAAAGGCAAGGACCAACTAGGATAAAGCCTCCATCATACAATATAGTAGTGTCTTCATTATATAAACCATAGCTACAGTTAAAAAAAAAAAGAACTAATAGAAAAATGGGTGAAGGACCAAAACAGGTAGTCCTCAGTTCCACTCTGCTCTTTTAAACTGCAGGGTTTTTACCCTGGAAATGAATGTGCTGGGGCTATTCATTCATTGGAAATACCTGCATATCTGATAAAGATGAAGTTAAGAGGGCTCCTGTCTGAGAATATGGTTCTTCCAACGACTGGGTCTCACAGTACTTCGAACCAGTCTAATTAAATGATCTGGCAGAACTCTTATTTCCATAATTATTCCTGAGACCTTGTCAAAAACAATAACTATGTCTCTCTGTAACCTCCACTGCCTGCATTCAACCTTGGACCACCATCTTCCATCACTGTAAATCATGCCTTGAGTACCTCGAACTCCCCACAACTTTGATGTCACAAAGACCTCTACTCCACCTAGTAGAAAAGTTTTCATTTTCTGTCCCTCCCTAGACGGCCCCTCTAGCTTATTCACCTAGTTTGGATCCCATGGTCACTGGTTGTAAGCACTCCCGATACACTGCTGGCTCACAGTCCCATCCTCGCTCCTCTCACTTATCTGTCCAAACGGGAGCCCGTTTAAACCCAGCTCCCCTCCTCTCTGTGCGCATAGACACAATCTCACTTCAGTTCATGACCAGGAGTCTCGAGGGGCTTCTGCTCAGTCACCGTACTCTGTGGTTCCTGGACTTGCCTTCTCGTAGCAGACCTTTTCCTCAAACTTCCAAACTCTTCTCCCTCCCTCACTCTCAGATGAGACCTTGATCCTCCACCTCTGAGAAGGCTGAAGCAATCAGGCAAGAACTTCTGTAGACTCCAATCAATTCATGTGCCCGTGTCCCCACTCCTGTTTCCCTGCACTTTGGTTCCAACCAGCTACCACAGATGAACTATCCGGGCTCCTCTCTGAAGCCCTGCATTTATGCCCCAGGTCCCTTCCCTCTTAGCTACTGAAGATGCCGCTCCAGCACTTCTCCCCTCTCCTCCTATCTCATCGCTCCTTCCCCTTTACTAAACCAGACCTTTCTTTTAGCCTAGAAGCTGTCTGGTACTTCTGTGGTCTTAAAATCTATTTTATGGCACCTAGCCCTGCTTCCTCCCGTAGCTGCTGGCCTGTTTCTTTACTCTTCTTTGCAGCAAAAGTCCTTGAACATTGTTTTCGCTTTGTCTAAATCTTTTTTTTTTTGGGGGGGTCATTCTCTCTTAGACCATTCAAGTCCAGAAATTTTTCTTACCACCACAGTGGTACAGTAAAACAGTGTAACTGTAATGATTACAGTGAAACAGTAATCATTTCTCTGGTGAACGGTTCCTACATGGCCATCCTACTCGACCTATTTGCAGGATATGAGACAGATGATCACTCTTTTCTATACACAATCTTCACTGATTTCCAGGGCACCAACATTTCCTCTTATTTCTCTGGTCCCTTCATCTCAGTCTCCTTTGCTCACCCTCTGCTTTCTTCCTGATCTTAATATTGGAGGGCTTCAAGGCTCAGTCCATGATCCTTTCCTCTTTTAAAAAAATGTACTGTCATTCTCTTGGTGATCTTATCCAGCCTCTTGACTTTCAGATAGCACCTATAGGCTTACACAATCAATTTATATCTGCACTTAGACCTCTTTTTAAACTCTATACTTTTCTATTGTACCGCCTACTCCAGGACCCCCATTATGCTGTCTAGTAGATAATTCCCATAATTGGTCACACATCCAAAGTTATACTATGGATCATTCTCATCCTACCCTCTCTGAACAGACTCTGTGTAGAGCTTCCCTCATTTCTGTTGATAACATGCCATCATCTCAGGTGCTCACCATGGAGCCATCCCTGACTCTTCTCTTAGACCCACATGCCATCAGTCCTATTGCCCTTCATTCACAACACGTCCAGAGCCTCAGCCTCCTCATGAGCTCCACTGATTCTGCTCTTGTCTGAGCCGATACTACTGCCCCATATATGGGAACAGTCTGAGCCTTCCCTGTCTCATGGGGCTCCCAGGTGGTGCTAGTGGTAAAGAACCCACCTGCCAATGCAGGAGATGTAAGAGACATGGGTTCAATCCCTGGGTCATGTCAATTCACTCCAGTATTCTTGCCTGGAGAATCCCATGGACAGAGGAGCCTTCCTTATACTCCAGTTGCAGGTCCGTCACTTTTCTACTGAGAAACCACCACTGGCTCCGTATTTCACTCAGAGTGAAAGAGAAAGTCTTTACGATGGCTGATAAGCCTCTTTATTAATTAGTGCTTCTCAAACTACCTGTGGTGAAGGACCACTTTACTTGCTTATTTATTTTCTAATGTATCATGAACCAATGTGGATCACATGTTTGGATATTATGGCAATGTCAAAAGTCAAGTTTTTTAAATGCTTGCTCTCCATTTCTGTGCTTACCTTGCCTCCAAACCCATGACAAAACTTGCAGACTGGCCCTGGTCCTCCACGGGCCAGCGAGCAGACTGCTGGGCAGGGTGCTCACCTCACCTGCCCCTCACCTCCACCCCACCTCTCTGACCTCATCTCCTAGCATGCTTCCCTCGCTCACTCCCCGGGTCTCCTTGAATGTACAGGAATGCTCCTGTCTCAGGGCATGTAACGCCTTCTTTTTCTAGTTGTTTATATTTAAGGTGTACAGTTGATGATGTGATATACATATATATCGGTAAATGATCACCATAATCAAGCTAATCCACATCTCTGTCACCTCACAGGTCACTGTGTGTGTGGGTGTGTAGGTGTGTGTGTTGAGAACACTTAGAAAATTTCAAGCATACAGTTTAGTATTGTTACCTAGCATCACTGTGCTATACATTACATCTCAAGAACTTCCTCACCTTGCCTGGAACTTTCTTCCTTCTGGCTTCAGGGGCTTAGCTAACTGACCACCTCCATCCCCCGACCGCTTCCAAGTCTTTGCTTAGTTCCTGATTTCTCAGACCACCTGATTTAAAATCACACTCTCCCCTTCCACACTCCTGATCCCTTAATCTCCTCTACGTTTTTCTTCTTTCCACAGCACTTACTAACAATATTATTAATTATTTGTATTTATTCTCTTAGTTTCTGCATTCCCTGCTTAAGACATAATTTTCACAAGCACAGAGATTTCTGTCTATTTTGTTCTCTTAAGTATCCCCAAACCTAAAAGAGCTTCTGGTCCAATGGTAGGTGCTCAATAAACAGTTTTGAATGTTGAACTGGTGAACACACGCTTAACCTTGCACTTACCTTTATACCAGGAAATCCTTCTAGTCCTGGCAACCCCATTGCACCAGGTTCTCCCTGTTAAATATGAACATAAGAACACAAAAGCAACAATCAAAGGTTTTTAAATCATTGATTTCAAAAGCAAGGATTTTTTATTTTTTTTGCCTAGAAAGTACTTTCTCAAACATTGATTGGTAATTTAGCAAGTAAACAGAATGCTCTATTTTCAAGCATCTGTATTCTTGCATTTGGTATTTGAAAAGAGCCAGAAAATAAAGCTATTCCCTAAAGTATATATTTTTTTCTAATTGTTTTTATTCTGACTAATCTTCTCTGAATGAATTCCTCTAGTCAGTGATAACTCCAGCTTCAATAAGAAATAGAAGAAAAGGCTGGGATTTAATAAACTTTGCATTTGTGAGGTACCTAAGGCTTCTAGATTGTCAGAAAACAAGACTAAAGATGGAGCTCTCAAATCAAAGTTTATCATCCCTCAATACTCCCTGGAGCTGGACATGAACTGTGGGTGCTTCAGAGGACAGCCCCAGAGGCAGTCACTGCTGACGGGTCACTGAGAGGAGATGAGTAAGCCTTTCTGCTAAAAAAAATCTGTTTCATATACTGGTGTGTGGTCACAGCTGACTTTAGGTCCTCAAGGAACCCATTTAGAAAGGTTAGGGTGAAGGAAGCTGCTAACTTACAACAATAAACATTAGGGGCTTTAAATTAAGAGACTAAGTGGCTTGATTGTTGTTGTTCAGTCACTAAGTCGTGTCCAATTCTGCAACCCCATGGACTGCAGCATATTAGGCTTCCCTGTGCTTCACTCTCTCTCACAGTTGGCTCAAATTGATGTTCATTGAGTCAGTGATGCTATCTAACCAGCTCATCCTCTGTCGCCCCCTTCTCATTTCGCTTTCAATCTTTCCCAGCATCAGGGTCTTTTCCAATGAGTCAACTCTTCATATAACATGGCCAAAGTATTAGAGCTTCAGCATCAGTCCTTACAATGAATATTCAGGGTTGATTTCCTTTAGAATTGACTGGTTTGCTCTCCTTGCAGTCCAAGGGACTCTCAAGAGTCTTTCTCCAGCAACACAATTTGAAAGAATCAGTTTTTCGGGGCTCAGCCTTCTTTATGTTCCAACTCTCATATCCGTAGAAGACTACTGGAAAAAGCATAGCTTTGACTAGATGGATCTTTGTCAGCAAGGTGATGTCTCCACTTTTTAATATGTTGTCTATATTTGTCATATCTTTCCTTCCCAGGAGCAAGTTTCTTTTAGTTTCATGGAACCCAAGAAAATAAAATCTGTCACAAAAAAATCTGTTTTTTCCTTTTATTTGCCATGAAGTGATGGGACCGGATGCCATGATCTTAGTTTTTTGAATGTTGAACTTCAAGCCAGCTTTTTCACTCTATTTTTTCACCCTCATCAAGAGGCTCTTTAGTTCCTCTTCACTTTCTGCCGTTAGAGTGGTATCATCTGCTTATCTGAGGTTGTTGATACTTCTGGCAATCTTGATTCCATCCAGCTTGTGATTCATCCAGGCTGGCTTTTTGCATGATGTCCTCTGCATGTAAGTTAAATAAACAACTTTGATGTACTCCTTTCCCAATTCTGAGCCACTCCATTGTTCCATGTCCAATTCTAACTATTGCTTCTTGATCTGCATACAGGTTTCTCAGGAGACAGATAAAGTGGTCTGGTATTCCCATCTCTTTAAGAGTTTTCCTCAGTTTTCTGTGACCCATGAATTAATGTTAACTACAAATATTTTCTTAGGACACTGGATGCTTTAAACATAATCATATAGAAAATGTAGCTTTCCAAGTTCATTCTCTGTAAATGTATTTTAGCATGCCTAATACTAATCTACTTCAAAAATACCACCAACACTAACTTCTATTATGAGTTATGATATTGTCCTTACTATGAGATACTTAATGAGAAGCATATGATCTGGATACTTTCTTTGCTCCAAAAATCTTTTCAGACATCTACCAATATATAACCTGTTAATCAGAAGAAAAGGTGTTTAGATTCTATTCTGAATGAAGCTCTGTAATAGAGGCCTTGGGTTATTGACAAAGGAAATAAGTTTTTTGATTCTCTTTGTTTACATTCTCAGTTATCCTTAGGACAGAGGAATTGGTTGGACAGTGTTCAGCCAATCAATCGACATTTGTTTGAAAGTAGCTAATAATAAATATTTAATTGAAAACCAATTATAAAGTGAATACCAAGGGAATTAAATAGATCACCTCAGAAAAAATAAATTCAATTAAGGGTGATTTTTATCTGCAAAGTTTCACTGAGAAGATTAGAGACAGTGATGCAAGTCTGGTGGCCTGGGGTTTGAAGGAAGCTGGAAGAGTAAATCTTCCCCCAAAGCCCCAAGGGGATTTTCCATTTTCTATTCAGTGACCTGGTAGCTCAGCTGGTAAAGAATCTGCTTGCAATGCAGGAGACCCTGGTTTGATTCCTGGGTCGGGAAGATCTGCTGGAGAAGGGATAGGCTACTCACTCCAGTGTTCTTAGATTTCCCTTGTGGCTCAGCTGGTAAAGAATCCACCTGCAGTGTGGGAGACCTGGGTTTGATCCCTGGGCTGGGAAGATCCTCTAGAGAAGGGAAAGACTACCCACTCCAGTATTCTGGCCTGGAGAAGTCCATGGAATGTATAGTTCATGGGGTCGCAAAGAGTCGGACACGACTGAATGACTTTCACTTCATTTCATTCAGTGACCTGTGACTCCACCATTCTTGGCTTATCTCTGTAGTATGAGGTAGTATTTCTCTACCTGGGGGCAACTGGTAACATGAATTCCAAAGGAACAATCTAAAGATTTATCTAAGATAAACCTGAAGGATTACACAGTTGTTAATTTCATATTTTATGATTCCAATTTTGTGCTTTACCCACTTAATTCATGTCTCTAAAAGCAAGGAACAAAAAAAATAAATAAAAAAATAAAAGCAAAGAACATCTTTCACTTGGTTTTTATTCTTTATCATTTGTTGCAGCTAAAAAAAAATCAAAGTCTCATCTCCAGATTCTATTCACATCTGTCCACACTTTTGTTATCACCCACTTTCCAATCCAAATGAATTATAACTTATCCTTTATTATTGTACTTTTAAAAGAGCATTCTCACCTTAAACCACTGTTCCTAATGAAAAAACTTCGGTGTTTCAGGGAAGGCAGTGAGAAGCCTATGTGCTCTAAATGATCCAGAAGGGATGTTTGTGTGTGTGAGTGTGAGAAGGAAAGACCAAGAGGAAATTTTTATCAATAAGATGAAAGAAGATTAAAATTGGAATTGAGGATATAGTGGATGAAAGCATTAAAAATGTTACAGAAAGCACAGCATGAGTCACAAAACAAAGGAAGCTCCCACATGACATATTTGGAAAATGCTTCTAACTAGGTTAGATCATGAGTTTAGGGGAAAACAAATCAGCTTTTAATTGCCTAATAAGAAAAAAATAGCTCTTTCATGCACCTCCTTTGAAAATGTATTTAGATGTGAAAAGATTGCTTTTTATGGCTCTCCTGCTTGTTTAAAATTTATTCATCTAGTTTTACCAAACTCTACTGAAACAAAAGGGCCTTCAGTCTCTTCTGGCAATGGAAAGTGCTTTGAAAATTTGTATCAGTTTCAGGTGCATCTGAGTTTCAAGCATATATCCAAAGGTCAAAGTACAGAGAAATGAAATATGAAGGACAGAACATCTGCTTGTAAAGGACATGACAGGAAAGTCAGCCAGGGAATAAAAACAATCTAACTGCATTTGGCAGAACTTTTCCAGAGACACCTCGTGGTTGAGGAGGATGCCTGACCAAAGTCATCATCCTTTAGGGGCTGGAGGACGAGACCTCTCCCCAGGCGGAGGGTTAACCTTTCCCGACACATCACTCCCAGTAAATGGGGTTATCACAGCTCACCAAATCTCCTCCAGAAAAACTGCCTCAGACAGCGAAAGTAAATAAACTGTTCCTATCTCTGTTGTTGTTAGGAGATATGGCAGACATCTTAAAGAATTTCTTTTCAATAGATATTTTTCTGTCGTGATCCATTAATATTTTTCTTTCATGATCCACTTTCATGATCATCAGAATAGTCCTACTGGAAGAAAGTGCCCTGTTTCTCAGGAGCTGTATACGTGTCTCTTTCCAGCCCGGGGCAATTTCTACAAACGCTCTGATGGGGGAATGTCAAGGGCCGTGACATCAGGACTAAAGCTTTCTGAGGTGAGGAATGGGCCGGCTGCCTCCATGTTCACTGACAAACATCTTAGAAGGCAGGCATCCCTCCTGAAGCTCTTCTTAACTCTAATAAAGATGTATTTTCTAAATGACACAAACATGGGAATATACAATATACATACCACTGGGCCAGGATCGCCTTTGGGGCCCTATAAGAAAAATATGAGAAGTCACCTTTAAAATAATGACTGAAGCAAAATCACAAACTATGAGAAATTTTTTTCCAATTTGCTTTACTACATGTAAAAATATGTGCAAGCCTTGCTTTGCTACCGTTTGGATTTGAAGCATAAGATGAGGAACTATAACTTGATAGAACTCCCATGATGGCAATCACCTGGACATTGATTTAGTTCTCAGATTTCCAAAATGTGACAGCTCTATGAATTATGTAATTTTTCTCTACTTTGTATACAATCTTATTATTATTGGTTTCATTTATTTACTCCTGCAGAACACTTTGGTTATGTTTCTAACACATAATTTTCAGTGAACTTAGGATGTCTTTTTGTTGCGTATGTGTGACTGTTCAGTGAAAATATGTACTCACAGGGGGTCCCGGTGGCCCTGGGTAACTGGGGGCACTCACACCTCCCTTCAAAAGAGAAAGAAAAAGGTGAGAAGGATTTGAGGTAACCTGGAACCAGAAAGTGACTTTACATAATTAGAAAAGTAAATACCTGGATTTTATATAAACTGCTCATTCCATTCCCTTCATTGAATGGCACACCCTTAGAAAAGAAATGGAATATGGAATTATTCTTTTATGTTAATAGTGAGAGTCTCTAACTTTGTTGTTTTACCAAATGATATTTTTCCTATTCTATTTTAGAAATGGAGTTTAATGCTATCAGTAAAAATAACAATGTTTCCATTTTTGGTTTTTCTAAGGCAAATGTAGGGGAAAAAAAACCGGAAGGCGTGTGAGCTCCACCAGGAGTGCACACACACACTTTCTGCAGGACTGTGATGAATGTGCTGATTTGAAAGATGAGACACTAATGTATTCAGAGGAAAATATTATTTGCTCATTAAAATTCAGTTTCTGAATTGCCAATTTATGCTAACTGTTTACAGCCTGCTGACCTGCAGGCCATAATACAGGAGTGCTGATGAAGATGTGAATAGGGAACAATTTGGCTACTGAAAGGTAATTTTTTCCCCCAGTCTCTTCATACTGAATAGAAAATAAAGAGAAACAGGGGATATGATTTTATTCACAACCCTGCATGGATGTTCTACAAAAATATATACTTTAAAACAATAGGGACTAGAAACTTCCTAATAAAATTGATCTGTGAATCAAGTCCCAGGGTCTTTAAAGAGAACTCATTTGAGAGGCTTTCATAATCAAACATCTTAGCATACAAGAAAAATGTGCACATGAAAATTTTAGTTCAGATCTTTTAGCCTTTTAAAAATAAAATCCCCATAGAATCAATAACTTGCATTTTCCTTTACTGTGATTTCCACATTTTAGCTGCAAAACTGAAGATCCCTCACTGCCCTGCTCCTGGACCGTGGCAGCCCGCGGTGCTCAGGGCACGGGACCTGCGTGCCCTGCAAACACTTGAGAAGGAAGGAGAAAGCTCTGTTCATTGATCCCTTTAGCATTTCACTCATCCATCTGACAATTCAGTTCAGCGGTGTGACAAATGCTCAGTGTCTACTGTGTACAGTCCTGGAGGGCGAAGGATACTTTGGTCTGAGATTTCCAGGGCCAGGGTGGGAGGCTTCCCAGGAGAGACAGCATTGAATTTGTTTGGAAGAATAGATAGCTATGGAGGATCCGGGTGGGAGGGGGCAGGGCGATCTCTTCAGTCCCTTGTGAAACACAGGTCCCTTTTGGGGGCTCATGTCACACTTTGCTGTGCTCTCCACTAGGGAGGGAGTGCATTTCAGTGTTTGAGCCTCAGGTGCTGCCTGCCCTGCTTCGGTATCAAGGGAGAAGGTAAGTAAAATGAAGAGCAGGTTTAGGAAAACAGATGCCAATGTCTTCAATGTGCAAAGCACACAGACATGCAACCCATCTTTGTTGTCTTCGGAATCTCAAGAAACTTACCAATGGAGAAAGCTAAGACATAAATTTGTGCAACAACATACACTTCCTTTTGCTTTTCGGTGAAGACAGTATTTCAGGGGATGACTTGGGCCATTTCAGGGAGTTACCCAGTTTTCCTGGATGTTTCCCTTGCATATAAGAGGTGCACGTGTTATTAAACTTTTGATTATTTTTCTCCAAAAAAAAGTCACAGATGACTTCTGCCCCCTTTGGGTGAGTTTGGCTTCTTAAACTCTCCCTCTGAGGCCCGTGGGAAGGAACATTCGGCGAGATGGAAGTTGTGATGCTGTTCAAGTGAGACCCCACTTGAGGGCAGACTTGCTCCAGGGAGAGCCACCTGTCTTCTCCCCAGCCTCCTGACAACATCTGTGTCAGCCCTGAGGAGAACACTCGTGGCCCGTGTACATTTCATTCACCAAGCGCTGTATAAATAGAGTTTCCTAGCATCTCAGGCATCATGGATAGTAATAAACACACATAGCACAACACAATTTCTCTACCAACTCACATTGCTGGAAGGGCTCTCTTTATGGCCCCTCTATTTCCCATGAATGAGGCTCATTGAGGTTAAATGACTTTCCGAGCGGCCCCCAGGCGGGCAGCGGTGAGTCAGCTGCACATCTAGGTGAGCTGAACCCATAGCAGGGAGGCCGGCAATGCGCAGATCTGAGCGCCGTGCCTCAGGGCTGAGCTCACAGGGAGAGTCAGAGCTCCCCTAAGCCATGCTGGCCGTCATTCAAAGTCATACATGACACTCAGGCGACTTTCATCCTTGAAGGTACCTAAACGTAGTCCAACCCCTTTACAAAAGGTGTCCCCCCTCCTTTTCCATCATGATATGTTCATCACAGGATACTGAATATAGTTCCTCGTGCAAGACAACAGGACTTTGCTGCTTATAAAAAGCCTCGAGTAGGAGCATGCATTTCTGTTTTAAACATGAAACAACTCACAGCTGGTCCAGGTGGCCCAGGTCTCCCAGGGGGCCCCTCGCTGCCCTGCAAAGGGGAGACAGACCAACATCAGTGACAGACGTGTCTACCCCAGGTTTATGAACCAGACATTCTGAAATTGATATGACTTGTCATTTTGTCAGCCTTGTAAAGTCTTGTTCAGCTCAGCTTTTCCCTTCACCTGGGGAATTACTAGACCACAGGAAAGCTAAATGTCTTTCCCCACAGGTATTCATATCTTCACCGTTTCACCCCCAGGGACAAAGCTTATTTTTAGATGGAGCCATACAACCAGGCGATAAGGTCCTAGGCTTTGAGTGCAACTGGGGGAACTCTCCCCACCTTGGGGTGCAGAGCAGACTTCCTGCAAGTGGGGGTGGCTCAGGGACTCAGCTCTCTGGGGCAGACCCTCATCCCACCACCTTCACCTTTGGGGAACCAGAGGGCGCATCCACATACTTTAACTAGAGTGGAAAATTACAATCTGAGTTATGTCTGCAGGGGGAGAAACCTCTCTCACTTTCTAAGTTAACGTCAGGCAAGTCCCCTTGAGAAGAGGTGACTGAGGGACAATGCTATTTAAAGGAAACATTCTGTACAATGTAAACAGCCTCAGACATTCCGCTTCGAGGCAAGGCAGACTGAAAGTGACATCTGTGAAAAATGAATTCAAGCTGAAACTTGAAACAAGGGATTTGATTTATATTTTTATAAAACACAGGCTGGTTATTAGTCCATGATAAGCAGAGGCACGATACTCCCTTTGGTGTCTTTAACCAGTTCTTCCTGTAACTGCTTTTTTTCTTTTTTAAAAAAGAATAGCCTCTAACAATCTCTCAAGTCTCTTGATTATCAGGGGCAATGGCAAGAAATGGTTAATTAAAGAAGACTCAGAGTAAATTCTTACTTATCATGCTCAAGAATTTTGAGGGATTTTAGTCCATTTTCATAAATTTGATGGGTTTCATTCCAATCTCCCCATTTTTTTCAGTAACAAAATAATCATATAAACCTTCTGATTGTGTCTTTATCAATAAAGACCAACTGTAAAGTTTTTCTTGCCATGTACCTCCCCTAGACTGAGTAACATGCGTGTACTGCATGTTTCTAAGACACATCAGGTCCTGCGGGCTGCTGGCAGAGTCCTTCAGAGAATTCTGTCCTGGTTCTCCTGAACCGCAAGGGGACAACAAACAAGGAAAACATGTGCCTACTGAAAGGACTTTTTTTTTTCCTGGCACAATTAAAAGTCATATTTTCATTCTTGACTGTGGCCCAAAGCTCATCTCTGTGTGGAATTCCCACTAACTTCAAAAGGCAAATCTCCAACAGGATAATTTCCATCAAGAACACAGAGAAAAGGCTGGTGGGGTTGGGCAAGCTCTCTGGGATGCTATCAGAGAAAAATGTGTGAGACTGTCTAGAAGAAGCACACGGTTGCCTTTCAATTTTGGGGAGGGGGATTCCTCTGCTCCTTGATGCCATTATGCCCACTGTAGGCATTTCAGGGTATAAGTCACTGAAGTGACTTATGGATTCCTGACTCTTAAATTTCTCAAATTGGAATAGTTAGTCCACGTGACTCAGGTGCTGGCTCTATCACACTGCGGTGGGTGGTGGCGGGCTGGGGGGACTTCAGATGTGAAAACGGGTACCGTGTGAGCTTCCTGCTGAGACCCCTCTTTGCTGCCCTTCCCTGCTGACTCATTGACTGGACTCCCCATGAAGCAAGCTGTGATGGTTCTTTAGAGGACTTCCCCTATGACTCTCCAGATTTCCTCAGCAAGACCATCAGTTACTGGAATCCTGATGCTGAGAGCCATGAGCTATTGGGAGCCTTGGCACCTGTGGCTGGATGCTCCGATACTAGCCACCTTCCTGCATCTCATCAGGAGGCAGCCCTCACCCTGTCCTTCCACACAGTGGATGCCCAGGACCTTGTATCCAGCCTGGAGCTTTCACCCTTTTCCCTGGGAGCATATCTCTTGTATTCAGACCAATTTCGGGACCTATGTCCTTCCAAGCCCCCTTCCCTGACACCTGTCCTACTTTGAAGCCTTCCTCGATTTTCCAGACTTTCTCTAAAAGTGGTCTCGCCTCGCATCCACCCCAAACCCCAATTTGGACAGTAAGTGAGATTTTCCCTCTATACCTTGTCACCCTTTGTTCCCATGGGGCCAGGGTGTCCCGTTCTTCCTAGTAGGCCCTGTAAAACACAAAACCAAGTTTGTCACCGAAACAACAAGAAAAGCCAAGCGTGTTGGAAGTTGGTTGCTCAAACTGATACATTTTGAAGGTCATTTGATCATAATTAGATCAGTCCTATAAGCGTATATTTCTTCAGGCTGATACCGCAGCTGTATCCTGCTGATAAGCCCTTGGAAGGAAAAAATTTGTATCTGTGGTCGCTTTTTCACCTTGGCCAACCACATTTAATGACCTTAATTGGAACCTTTTAATACATTTAAAAATTTAGCCTTGCTGTTTAAATGGCAATTTACATAACATTATGCCTTCCTAAATGAGCTATAATTTTGGTAGTGATCAACATTTTAATACTTCATAGAGCAGGATTAACAAGGTGCATATTGAGTTATGCGATCTGCATTTTACCAATGGAAAATAAAATTAAATTTAAAATCTTCTTTGAGAACAGTTAGCTATAATTTCCGTGATTCCTTTCACAACTTTCGCTCTTAACTCTTAATTTTAGTGTACAATTTAGACTCAGGTTTGTTCAATATAAGTGCGGTGAAAGCATAAATGGTAAAATTTTCATTATGGCAAATCCATGATTCAAAACATTAAGGAACATGATTACATTCCTACATACCATTTGCATAGGAACTCTAAGGAGAGGATGATTGCAAAAATTGAGGCTCGAATAGGATTGCTAGATTTAACAAATAAAAATACAATATTTGGGACAAACATGCTATGAAACTATTTATTTATATGAAATTAAAATTTAAGCTTATATCCAGTATTTTAACCAGCAACCCTAGTTTTGAGCTCTGCTTTAAGGAGAGATTGGGTTTAACAGGCAGGAAAGGAAAAGAGACTTCTGTTTTAAGAAAACAGGATACCTAAAGACACAAAGAATGTGATACTGTGTTTGAGAGACAGTGAAAAAAGGTGCCAACTAAAGCAGAGCATACTTTAATTCATAAATTGGAATAAAATGAAATTGAATCTGATAATCCTGACCCATTTTTTTTTTCCTCATCTAGAGAATGAATTCTTAGTTTATGGTGCTTAACATGTAAGGTGTAACCATCTGAGTATCCAAAAGGTCAATGCCAAAAAGTTATAACTAAAAGAGATAATGTTCTCTTCTACATCCAACTTCTATTCAAACTGACTTGCTTAATCACAGACAAGTCTCCACAACCCCTAGCAGCCTCAGGTAACAGTAACAAAAGTCCGAGACATCAGATGCTACTTTTCCAGGCAATGCTTGAAAAATCTACATGGAGGAATGGAAAACAAAAAGCAAGGAGGAACATTAGTTCACCTGGCATCATCTCAGCAGAACGAGTGGTGAGCAAAACAGTTTTAGCAAATACTTACAGGCGGTCCTGTGGGGCCAGGAGCACCTGGAAGGCCTGGAATTCCTTGAAGACCCTGGAAGAGATAGTTCCTACCATAAAATCTGTTATATCATTGGAAACAAAGCATTTTAGTTCCGCAAATATTTTGACTATTGAAAACAAAACATCTACGTTGGCTAATCAAGAAACAAGGTGCCTGTCATGTGCAAAGACCCACTTTCGAAGAATAAGGATGTTGAGCTAAAATGCTGTGGCATGCATGGCATCTGTAATGAACATAATTTAATGTGTTTGGTGATTCATAGAATATTTTTGATGTCACATCTCACATATCCTCACAATCATCAATAGCATCTTTGAGAAGCCAGCACTGTTAAAGCATGAAAATACAAATTTCAGAGGAGCAGAATGCCATCAAAGAAATACATTACACGAACGCTTCATTCAACCAGCGGAACAATGGAATCTGCTTTATGATATAATATTTAGTTTAGCTGGACAGTTCATTTTAAGAAATTTGGCTCATCAGTGAATTTAAATTTGGAATCCTTTAGTGGCTCAAGTGTAAAAGTGAACACAAAGCCTCTCTTGCTCTGTCTTATATTTGTAGCATCATGCTAGTTACACTGGATACATTTATATATTCAAGGACAAATTGCTAAGATTAACTGATAATTTGTGTAATTAATTTGTTCCTTTATCAGATATGTCAGCAGCGGAATATTAAATTTAAATAAGCTCATATTATGAAATATTTCACAACTATTAAAATCATGTTTGAAAAGCTATTGAATAGTATAGAAAAAGGGAAATTACAAAATGTTACATAGGGTAAGGTCCAAATTATTAAAAAAATTAGAAATGCAGTTCCTGAGACTGATGGAGGCTCACAATGCCTTATCTGGAAACTTTGTATCAGATGTGCTTCAGAGTACTGAATTTTCAGATTTGCTTTAAAGGAAACACATGTGCTTATGCTGGTATTACATAATACTCCCAGTGGCATTTAAGGCAGGACCTGCTAATGAACACACAAATATTTCTATTGCAGAACACATGATATTCTCACCAAATGGGTTACATAGATTGGCTCCATTTGACTTTAGGTCAGATTTTTCTGCCGAAGAAATTTAATCCAAACTTGGGAAAAATTTCTCAGGTTTTCAGAGGCATTTGAGCTTTGGAATTGTGGATCCGAGATTGTGGACCACAATAGGACTTTCACCAACAGTCTGAGAAGCACAAACTGGAGTCACTTTTACTCTTTTTCGTGTTTTTGTATATTTCTCAGATTTTCTGTAAGAAACTCAGATGACTTCTCTGATGAGAAAAATATACTTTAAAATACCCATTTATTATCTCAGATAAACATATGATGTATCAAGTTCTATTTTGAATGGTTCCACTTTTTCAGGATTCAATTTTCTTTACTAAGTAATACTTTTATAGTGCTAAAGCATTAATTGTTATCGTAAGCTCCCTTACCTTTTACTGTGATGAAATATACATGTGGTACATATTGTACATATCAGATAAAGTGATCATGGTAGAATTGCTACATGGTAAATTGCTACATAGCTATTTATGGGAGTTCTAGAGGAGCAGAGTTCCACAGGGTACAGGGTTCACTGCATTAATGGGATCAAGGATCAAGCTCTATGGAATATGTCCATCTAATGCCTAATGGGATCATATATTCCTTCAGGTTTTTCATGTGATAGGAGGTGAAGAAATGCTGGAAGGACTCTTCCTGGGAGTGCTGAAATGCCTCCCGTAATAAGAGTCTTGGGTAAAATCTTATGCACACTTGTGTTAAAGAATGTGGATCTAAACTTTCTTCAAGATGGGTTCGTCTTCACTGGCAATGCTGTGTGTGTGTGTCTGTGTGTGTGTGTGCACGCACATGTGTATGCATCTGCAGGCAGTACACGTTAGCATGCTGTTTTGGCTCTTTTTATTACCCCACCATTAACTTGTTTATGGGGTTATAAGTGAAAAGGAAAAAAAACCTTCCTTTGGGAATGGACCTCTGAGTATCTAGAGACTATAAATGGTATGCCACAAATTGCTTTATCTCAAAATACCCACATTTCCATAAAATACTCTCTATATGTACATGTATAAGATATTTATGTTCTTATATATTCTTCTTTTTGCTACTTTTAGTCTCAAGACTGAATCAGTCTAAAGATGCTGAGTCTTTAGGTAGTCTAATTTATAAGCTTGGGACTCATTAACCTTTGATGACCACATTAAACTTTAAAATAAACCTCAGTCCATAAATAAAAAAATCATTCTCAGCAGTCTTTCTCTGAACAAGCTGAAATTCTGTACTAAGGGTAAAAGTTACTGTGGATGTATAAAGGGCAAGAAGATAATTTTAGAAGACAAGAACATCATTAAAGAAGACAAATACATATTAAAGAGTAAGACAGTAGATTTAGCATATTGTACCAAACTAAAATACAAATTAAAACTTATTGCATAGATAGTCCAGGATCATTAGAACTAAGTTCTTTCCCTGTTCTGATATTTTGATTTTACAATTCATAGCTCAGTTGCTATCAAGAATATTTATTTTTCCATTGCTATAATTTACGGCTGACAATATTCTGCAAGTCCCACTGATCGATTATTGTTCTAAAATAATGTAAAAAAAGACCTGCATTCCAAGCGAGAATTCCCTCTGACTACAAGAAGTGAGTCTGTGTTCTGTCAGTATCTGCCAATTTGTTACCCTGAGTTGTGAAAGAACATCTGTAACAACTGGACAGAGGACAACGTCACTTTTGTTATAGCCATAACAACAGGCAACTCTTCTCTTTAAGTTTCCAAATGGAATATGATCACTATTCAATAATAATCAGGAATTCCTCAAAGAGAGAGTGTGATGTCATTCTATATCTTTTCCACTAAGTGTAGGGCAGACATCTTAGATCTTGTATAATTAGATACTGGTGGTGGTGGTTTAGTTGCTAAGTTGTGTCCAACTCCTGCGATCCCATGGACTGTTATGTGTGTATTAAAACAGTATAATTTATTGGCCAGTTGGCAATACACATGTTCTTGGGCAAAGTTTCATTCACTTAAACAAGTCAACAAATTAAAATTTCAGGGAGTATTTGAGTCCAAGAAGACAAGATGATATTCAGTACTTCCCATCTGTCTGAGAGGGACACACTGCATCGACCCATACTTCACAAAAGGCCTAACTGAGTTGTATATTACCTCAGGTTTATTCATAATTTTCATGAGATATGAAGAAACAATGGAAGACAACCTCCTTATGAACTAGCTGGAACTGAATGCCTAAGAGTCTTGTGCAACATCTGTGCGCCCCGTGTTAAAGAATCCACAAGCTGTACGTAAGGAAACGCACACTAAAACAGTGGAGGAGTTAAGGAGGGGCTCAGTTCACTGCAGAACCAATAAAAGTTAACTTCTGATAAATTTAATTTAGAGTCACTTATAAAAAACCCGAATTCCAATTACTTCCCGATCTTTTTGCTATTACCTTCTCAATTGCCTTTAAAGCCTACTTCTTGAACCTAGGCAGTTAAAAGCTGTTAGACTATTAAAATCAGATACTGCGCGTATACGTTAGCGCAACTTTCTGTGGAGCATGAAGATGCAAAAGCTCAATAATTCCTCCTTGTTTCGAAAATAAAATGCCTTTACTCTTTTATTTATGGATGAAAATAAATGTTGTATTTCTTTGCTCTTCAATTTTTAACTTGGAAAAAAACAAGCCAATCCTCACTGTTTTCTTGAATAGAATCAATATTAATTAAAAACAATAACATGGTAATTTATAACGTGAAATATATAACTCCAACTCAAAAATAGATCTACTTTATATTGTCATGATTTTCTACACCAACATCAAGGTTAATATATGCCAGATGGCTTACTTACTTTCATTAAGAATTATTAGTATCAAAACTGTTTAAACTAACAACAATTCATCATCCTAATTGGTTTTTCTAAGAGTTAATGTGAATTATGCAGGAAAGAATGCTATCCTGAGATCGGTATGGCAGAGAGTCAGAAAATTATATCACCATCTCAAAAGCACATTTGACTTTGAACCTTAGTGGGAGGGTGGGCAGATGATTAAAACCAGCCCAGGCAGACCCTTTAGATGTGTGTGTGTGTTTTCTTCCCAAGAGTTTGAAAGTTGAGTAGAGATACAGACAAACCAAGGTCGCTGAAATTGAGTCATGTTATAGCAGAGGGCCAGGAAGTTCTATTGAATTCTGGAGCTGCCCTTATCCCCAGGCTGGTTGCTAACTAGTCCTTCAATTCTATGAGCTCCTTTAGGATTCTTTTCAGTAAGTTCCCTCTTTCCCCTAGCTTTTGTCTTGAGAGACCTAAAATTTTTACCTCCTGCATGAAAACATATCAATTAACTGATATGTTAAATTTGTGCTTAAATTTCCTTGTCCCCAAAACTGGACCACTGACAACAAATAGCAACATATTATTTAAAATGTGCTAGCATTTGGAAAAAAACACTGTTTTTGTTTTTATTTATTTAACATCAGACATGAGCTATAGGAAAACTGGTGTCCTTTTGTTGTGTCATGTACGAAGGCTCAGCCCGAGGGTTCCATGGTCAGAGGAGTCATTTACCTCATCACCTTTCTCCCCAGGCACGCCAGGGTAGCCCCGCTCGCCTTTGCTCCCCTAGAAAGACAATTCATTTAGTTAGTATGCTCAGTCATTTTGTCATCTTTGGAAAAATGAAAATATCCCTCTAAGGACACTTGGGGCATGTCATTTGGACAGAATTGGGAAACATATAAATGACCTATGCAAATGGCTTTTCCAAGATATTTTTAGAAAAGGTACTGTATTTTCAAATGGATTTTTTTTTTTTTTACCCCAAATTGAAGGTTGGACAGAAGAGAGATTTCCCTACCTTCGGTCCCTCTCTGCCTGGGATTCCTGGAGGACCCCGTGGCCCTAGATCGCCCTAGAAGACACAGCAGTTGCAGATAAGAGAAGGCACCATGTGGAACTTCCAGGGTCCCCTGGTCCACACTCAACCCTCGTCTTCTTACCTTCCGGGCTGCAGAATCAAACTTTCCGGGCTCACCAGCACCTGATTCTTCTCCTTTGTTGCTTTTCAGCCCAGGGACACTGGCTTGGCAGTTGCCACAGAAATTCTAATGAGGATAGAGATAAGATCACTTAGAGATTCATCAAAGTAATGTATAAAAGTGAGCTCTGATTGGATTTGAACTTCTATCTGAACCTTTGTGAGAGCTGAATGACAGTCACTGCTATGTCATTCTACAATTTAATCAGTTAGAATGACTACTTTTGGGGGGCCAAAAACTATCTTAAAAGATAAACTCAGTGGGCTCCCCTCATTGTCCAGTGGTTAAGACTCCATGCTGCCAATGCACGGGGTACAGGTTTGATACCTGGTCAGGGAACTAAGATCCCACATGTCTCGTGGTGTGGCCAAAAAAAAAAAAAAAAAAAAAGATAAACTCATAATTCAAGGGCACAGAGTTCCAAACACTTGGCAGCATGTTTAAAAAGAGGTGGCAATAAAGTTTGGAATAATCAGCAAGATCACAGAGCTCATACAACCAAGAGCATAAATCCTTAAAAAAGAAAGAAAAAAAGAGAAAGCTGTGAAGAAAGGATTTTTTCCTTCTGAGAGCCCACTCAGTTGGAAACCTATACACAGCTTTCTAACATTTTGTTAGTTGAAGCACTCATGTGGGAAGTAATTACTTGAGTGACTTGGACTTGACTTCTAAGTCATATCCAAGTGCAGATAGGAAATCTAAGTGGAATTACCTTTCCGTCCCCTTCTCTGTAATCTTTAGCTGATCTGGAAAGGCCTGAATTTAGGTGTCTGAGCTCACAAGATAAACTTCTTATCATGTAAAGCTCTACAGAGGCTTATTTTTAAATACATTGTTATAAAAATATGGTCAGGAAAGGCATAAAATAGGGACCACTGAGTGGGGGAGATAGTTTAAATTTAACAACTGACCAAAGGTAAGACAATAGAAGCCTCTATTCTTTCATCCTTTTAACCAAGTGGAAAATCTTTAAACATGAAGTGGGAACTGAAATTTGCCATTGATGGGAAGTTGACAAAAAGCCCATGATTATTCAAGTTCAATATTTTGACCCAGTGTATATGAGGACAAGTTTGATTTCCAAACATGTGCTCCGTGGAAGACTAATTTTGTATGGTATTGAAAAGATTCTGAGGCAATTTGCCTAAAAAATGCTGGGTTAGAACAATTCTCTTTATGGTGGTCTTTCTTAGTGCTGGAAAACATTAGAAGGAGCTGGAGTGTGCAAAGTTTCCCAAACCAATTTGGCCACTAGGATCATTTCATTTAGTTAATGTGCTGGTAAGGAGTTAAGAAACACACACCTAATTGTAGGATGACAACTATTAAATCTGAAAAACTATGAAGGTAGTGAGATGCTTGAGGACTTAGGAGAATCAAAAAGCTTTCCATATTTCAAAAAGTATGAAGAAGGTGAATTACTGTATCTGTAGACTTTGGCAATAAATAGCAGCATTTTAGAATGGATTATTCAATTGATTTTTTAAAAACTGAAGTATAGTTGATTTACAATGCTGTGTTAATTTTAGGTACATGGCAAAGTGATTCAGGTATATGTAGATATACATCGTTTCAGATTCTTTCCCACTATGCTGCTGCTGCTAAGTTCAGTCGTGTCCGACTTCGTGCAACCCCATAGACGGTAGCCCACCAGGCTCCTCTGTCCCTGGGATTTTCCAGGCAAGAATACCAGAGTGGGTTGCCATTTCCTTCTCCAGGGCTAAATACTAGGAATATAAAATAAATCACACATACATACATGTAGCCCATGAGAAAGTCAAAGTCGCTCGGTCGTGTCCAACTCTTTGCAACCCCATGGACTATATAGTCCATGGAATTCTCCAGGCCAAACTGGAGTGGGTAGACTTTCCCTTCTCCAGGGGATCTTCCCAATCCAGGGATCAAACCCAGGTCTCCTGCATTGCAGGCAGATTCGTTACCAGCTGAGCCACCAGGGGAGCCCTGTAGCCCATGTGTGTGTATACAAATATACTGTCCATTCATACACTGACAGATACTACGCATGAGGTTCAGTGGAATGTAAAGGGTTCAATCTTAGCATTCCACAAAGAAACAGGCAAACACAAAACCTACATATGTTCCATTATCATCCTGCCCCATCTCTTTTACAAATCAAATAAAGGGAAGTATTACAGAAAACAACGGCAGTGAGATTAATTCCCTAGGAGGTGGATAATAGGTAGAGATTATCTTTATTTAGTAGAGTCATCTACTAAATGAGTAGTGTTAGTAGAGTCACAGGTGTTAGGGTTAATTGTCAGCTTTGGAATTTTGTAATGCACTTTGTTAAATCCCATGACATAAAACTCAGCCTTCAAACTAGCTGTTTCTTGAGCAGCTTTTCCTTCTGGACTGGCCAGGGAAGATACTGTGAGGAGGACTGGGTTTCGCAGTGGAGAGCCCAGGGGGTGGTGAACACCATTAAGAGAAAGCTCACTCCAGGGGAAGAACGGTCCGCTCAGGGTGTTAATGGCACTCTTCCTCTCATAGGTCACCTCAGAACTACCCACTCACCTCAGAACTACCCACTCACCTCAGAACTCATAGCTCACAGCTCACTTCAGAACTACCCACTCACCTCAGAACTCATAGTTCACCTCAGAACTCATAGCTCACCTCAGAACTCATAGCTCACCTCAGCACTACCCACTCCTCCCTGTGCCCCCACTGTCAACATGAGAGGCCGGGAAAGAAAGAGAATCAGGGGATTAGTACCAATGGCACAAGACACAGATGGATCCATGTTCCTTTTTCTGTCTGAAAGATGCTCTACCATTAAAAAAAATGGAATTTTAGTTCAGGCTAACTCAACCTCTGGTAAAGATTTCCTTTCTGATTTTTCCTGGAAATTAGCACACAATTTCTTACATGGCAACAGAATACCTTGAACAAGGCCCCGATGTCTCCCAAGAGAGGAAGTGCAATCTGTGGATAAGAAGAAAAAAACCAAATACAGGTATTTAGACATATACAGGCACTTACAATACAAACATATAACAAATGTAGATATTTTCCCTCAAAATGCTGGGCAGCTGAGATTTCTCATAAGGCTTTTAAGAGCCTCGCCATTGCCATCATGATGGTTGGCTAACATGAGGCTTCCTATCCAGAAACAAATACAGGACACTAACAGAATTCATAACCATTTTTGAGAAGTAGAGAAATACCATTTCTTTACCATGAACACGGAAACACACACATGTCATCGTTTCAATTCTGAGTCATGCCAGGCAACCGTCATGCCAACCTTAACATATTATTGGTTTTAAATTATACATAAAGACAAATCATTTGTTAAAATTGCTCTGCCAAGCAAACCATCAGGCTGTTGAGAAATACGGAAAGTACAGAATGTTTGCCTTAAAGCTGTTTCTCATTGAATTCAAAAGAGTCAATAGGTGGCTTAAGTAATAGGCAAACTAGACATTGGGAGACTCAGGCAGAGCTTTGGCCTCGTGTCTTAAAATGTCCTTTCAGAGAGACACCATAAACCCTAGTAATGCTTTAGACTCTCAGACAATACACATATGATTCACTACATTGGGGAGTTAAAGGCCAAAATATGTCTCTGCACATAGCTTATGAAGGCATGTAGGGCCTGCATGGTGTGGGAAGCAGAAGGATTTGTGAGACTTAGAACTGAGAGGTTAGATTTGGATTTTATTATACAAAATTCTTAATACAATGTCATGTACCATATGGCTTCTTAAATTATAACTGCCGATTCTGAGGCTATTTAAAGGGATTTCACAGTCTCTCAAAGCAAAGTTTAACCTAAAATAAAACTTTGGACACATATTTAGTGCCTAAACCCATTTTGAAAGAGCCTACTCAAGGCAGTTTTGTAATTTAATCATTTCAGCATTTTTAAAGCCACAGAATCAATAGATATGTACCATATTGTGGGAAACTTATCCACAAACATTCATTTAGAAAAATGAAATTCATTTGGACACTAGCATTAGAAAGAATAGAATCTGTGGCTATGTATTTTAACTCAGTTTTCCATGGGATTGAGACATTATATGACAAGGTTCAACTTGGGGCAAAATTGTACAACTGAATTATGCCTTCAGGAAATAAGTATTCACCACACACACAAAAATGCTGATGTAGCTTGAATTTTTTTCCCCTTTAGAAAATAATGGGGATAAACAAAATCACCAAGCAGTCACTGAGCATTCTAATTAGTTTGGACAGTAAAACTTGCTTGGTAGGCTGTTTGGCTTCTGGGTGCATTAAAGATACATAAATCAGGCACAGTCTGTAAACATACCGGGTCACCTGGGGGGCCTGGCAGACCTGGCTTTCCATCCCTCCCTGGAGCTCCCTGAAAACAGAAACATCATGTTCAAACCTTTGCACCGTGGCACAAGAGCAGACTAAAACAGGTGCGGGGGAGAGGGAAAGCAGGTAAAAATTGTCCTTACATCATTCCCTGGGGTCCCTGGAGTTCCTGGCAACCCAGGGAGACCTCGAGGACCCTGCAAAAGGGGGAAAATAGTTACTTACAAGGACAGAACTTTAGTAATTTCCCCCCAGGTCAGCAAAGTGGATTTGCTATGCCAAAGAGCTTGGTTAAGTAGCTTACCTGAATCCCTGGCTCTCCAGCTGGTCCTTGGGAACCCTGAGTAGAAGGAGATTCAGTGATCATAATTCTGCTGGGAATGTCCATAAATTATCCACAAGGGATAAAGCAACAAATACTGTCCTGTACTTAGTGGAGCAGCAGGGCTCGCCACCATGCGCACCCTGAAAACTCTCTGCAAAGCAGGCTAAGAGTTCTGGGTGGCAGGTAGACTCCTGACCAAATGCAGTGCTGGAGGTACCACCATGACCACGCCTGGATGCCTGGGACATTCGTCTTGGCCCTGCCACGGTTCCTGCACACCCATGACTGCATAAACATCACATCCGAGTTCTATCTGGCAACACTGACCGCCCCCAGGGTAACCAGCTCAGGCTTCCTTCCTTCCTGCTTTTTACTGTGAGTCCTTTCCCTGGAGAAATTGCCAGAACCATTTTCAGTGATAGGAGTAGGAAATAAAACTTCAATCAACTATTCTTTCCTATGTTAGAAAGCTGGAATCTGCAGTAACTAAAACATGTTTGAAGATTATCAGTGAACCTAATGATGACAGATCCTTCCTTACTGCATGACTATGGACCTCTGGCGGAAGAAGTGATTGACTACCTGGGTGAGCAACGAGCCGGGGTTCCAGTACCTGACTTCACTACCTGCTTGCTGCCTTCTCTCTTCTTACTTTGAAATAAATATTCATATTGTCAAAGCTACTTTTTTGCTTCCTTGCTATTTATTCTGTGTGCTTGTTATTTTTGGTTTGTTGGTTTATTATTATTTTTTTTTTGCTTCAACCTCCTTCACTCCCCTAATAATTTCCTAAACTACTTTTTTACTTTGTTTAACCTCCCATCTCCAGTGGTCTTTTCCTTCTTGCCCTGGAAAATCAAACAGCAGTCAAACACAGTGCAATCATTCACTATTTACATCTTCTTTTACCTCTCAGGATAATTTTATTTCAAGGCCAATTCCCAAATTCATGTCATCAGAATAACCATCTATCTCACTTTTCTCATGTAAAAATCTTTTATGTTTTTTCATAGTAAATATAAAATTTTATTTCTTACTGCTATTTAGTCCACAAGCATACATACAATGGTCACTATTATGCTTATAGCAAAAACCTTTCAAAAACTGGCTATTATCTGTCTTAACTATCACAAACAATTTCTATGATCTCTTCTCTAAGATAACACATAGAGATTTTTGATGTCTCATTTATATGCACTCCATTAAAATATACCATGGAATATTACTCAGCCATTAAAAAGAATTCATTTGAATCAGTTCTAATGAGATGGATGACACTGGAGCCCATTATATGGAATTTAGAAAGATGGTAATGATAACCCTATATGCAAAACAGAAAAAGAGACACAGATGTACAGAACAGACTTTTGGACTCTGCGGGAGAAGGTGAGGGTGGGATGTTTTGAGAGAACAGCATCAAAACATGTATATTATCTAGGGTGAAACAGATCACCAGCCCAGGTTGGTTGCATGAGACAAGTGCTCAGGCCTGGTGCACTGGGAAGACCCAGAGGGATCGGGTAGAGAGGGAGGTAGGAGAGGGGATCGGGATGGGGAATACATGTAACTCCATGGCTGATGCATGTCAATGTATGACAAAACCCACTACAATATTGTAAAGCAATTAGCCTTCAACTAATAAAAATAAATTAAAAAAAATTAAGTTTTCATTTTATTCTAATTGAAAACAGTAATATAGAATAACCTAATATTGGGGCATTCTCATAATCTTGTAAACATGATTTTGTACTTTTTAATATATAGAATGGAGGAATAAAGGGTTAAGTCCACGTTTTCTAATTCAAAAGTCACTTATGTGTGATTAGCATCTGTAAGTCAATAAACAGTGGCTATCTTCTGTGTTAGGATGTAACTACAAGGCCCATTAATTCATGCCCTCTGACTAGCATTTTTTTGTATTTCCTCCTCTGACCATTTCACTCTTTTCTATTATTCAGATATGTCACAGGATCTTATTTCACAATAACAGGTCAACCGGGTTTCACGAACTTGACTGAATCTCACTTACAGTTCGGCCAGGAATTCCTATCCCTGGGGGGCCTACATCACCGGGCGAGCCTTGGACACCTGGCAGTCCTCTTTCCCCCTATGCAATGAGATGCTTCTGTTAGTGAGAGGCTCGAGGGACATGAATTTCCGAGGCACATTTTGCAAATTATTAATTCTTTAAAAATTATCTTTGATATTTTACCTTTGGGCCTCGTGGACCAGGTGCCCCAGGATTTCCATCTAATCCCTAAAAAATAAGAAAATGAGGTGAATATATTTTCTTTTTCTAAAAAGTTTACTTACATCTTAGGAGTTATAACTCAAAAATATTTCATTGCTCTTTATCTTTTTTGCATAAACCTTTTTCTGTAAAAGAATAAGGAAGAGGGAATATAAATTTTACTAGGTTATAAATTTTGTATAGTTACTTTAAAATATAAGATGTTTTCATCTTTAAAATGAGGCATCTGATATTGAGAACTGTTCATTATTATTATATAAAAGGTCAAAGGGCATGAGGGAAAAAAGGCATATGAAATAGGCATATGGGTTAGCAGCTTTCTGTGTCCTGGGATTAGCCCTGGCCACAAGGACTTTTTTTTTAAACTGATGACTGCCTATGGCCATATATGCAGAGCCTCTAGAAGGGAAATTTCAAGCAGTCTGTTTGTTTTAAGATTGTCCAAGGAAGGTTCATGTTTTAAAACTAGCATACCTTACTAGGCTTCTTAGATCCCTAAAGAAGATTCGGGGGGTGGGGTGGGGCTATAAATCTTCCAAAATTGTATGTAAAATGGTGCGTGTTTGTGCATTGTCTTCAGAAGAGAGACCTTTGTTTGTATCAAATTTCCAAAAGGATTAGAACACTGATCTAAAGAATAAGATGAATGCTTCCTTTTTTCTGCAGACCTAAACTTATTCCTATACTTGTGATCAGAAACAGGGAGTACACAAACTGATTAATTGGCTTTCAAAGGAAATATTAGTAAAAGGGTTGCTACTTACTGGTTCCCCTGGCAGGCTTTTTCCTGGAGGACCAACCTCACCTTTTGGACCTGGAAGGCCAGGAGGACCTGTAATCCCACCTGGGTCTCCCTGAGGAAACAAGGTAAAAGTCTCACTTCACAGCTCAGGTTCATGGTGGGGGGTGTGGCAGCAACAGCTTCCACATTTTAAATTGCCATCAAGTCAGTCACACTGCATTCTCTCCGTCACTCATTTCACAATGTACACCGAGCACCCAATCCACACGGACACTGTGCTAAGTGCACTTGGATCTTGTGGAGAGCTACGTTAGAATAAGTTTATGGCCTCCTGAAATGTATGTAAGTGAATAGACAGATGCACAGAGGGGAAAATCTATTCTTCAAATAATTTTTACATTTTCCTTAAGTTATTCTCAAGTAATGGTTCAATATTAATAAACTATTTTCTTGTAGACATCAAGAAATGTGTCATGAGATTGAGACTTCTTAGGTCTATACCTGTGGGGTCTATACCTATAGCTGAGCATAAAGCAGACTTTTCAAGTTCTGAGATCTTCATCTCCACAGCAGTTCATTCTGTCGCATTGTGTACAGTGAACAACTCCAGAGAAAACATTCCTGCACAGTCCGTGTGAACATCTATCCCCTGCGCAGCCCCGGCCGCCATGTCCTGTCCATGCTCACTCCTCAAAGCCCTTATGATCCTGTCTCATACTCTTCCTCAGCTACTTAATACACAAAGGGAGTGAAACAGAAGCTATACCTTTTCTCCTTTAATGCCTTGCTTGCCTGGGATACCGTGCTCTCCGGGTAACCCCTAGAAAATTCAGAATTAAAGGGCAAGAGCAATTAGAACATTTCTTATTGTAAAAACACTTCTATCTCTGAGTCTTTGTCAGAAGAACTAAATTTTAACATATGGGAATGTACTGATTTCGGTCTCTTGGAGAGAGAAAAACATTAATGAAAGTATGTGGCTTATTGTTTCAAGTGAGGAAACCTGGATATAATGGAAAAAAAATCTAAATAAGGGAGAACTTAACCAAATGCCCATCCATATTACTTCCCCAAATGGGATAAACAGAAAATATACTTCTACTTTAACTTGGTGGCAGAGGCATTTTATCTTTTTATTTTGTTCTCTTTATTAGCCTAGTCCCTATCATGTAACCTCATTTCTTATATATCCTGTGGTTCTGCCTGTGCCACCAGCATTTTGTTTTTTGTAAGATCTCTCCATTAGGCTCACCTGCAATGGTTCACCAAATGGCTTGGGGCACAACAAAAATGTTTTGCTCCGTGAACTGAATGTTCAAAGTAGCAAATGACCAAAGGCACTGAGGGATGAAACCCTGGAGGCTCAGTCTGGGAACACTGATAATAGAGCAAGATGTCAAGGGGCTGCTGCCAAAATGATGGGAAAAGGAGAGATTCTAACAGTTTCATGGAGCATAATCAAATTGTCAGACACAGGTCAGTGTCCAAGAAGCATCTTCCTTGTTTTTCTCAAGTGAGGACTGATGGAGAGGTTTTGACCCCCAAGATGTCAGAAGGCCAGGGAACTTGTCCAAGGGACACAAGGCTGACATTAGGGAAAGGATAGAAAAGGAATGTTCTCTAGGCTAAATCACATGCTGGGCCACAACACAAGTCCTAATAAGTATAAGAGAGTAGAAATTGTATCAAGCATTGTTTCTAACCAAAATGGCATGAAATTAGAAATCAATTACAGGAATAAAAATGGGATAAACACAAAAACATGGAGACTAAACAACATGCTACTAAAAAAACAGTATGAAAATGAAGAAATCAAAAGAAAATCAGAAAACATATCAAGACAAATAAAAATGGAAGCACTGCTTTCCCAAATCTATGGGGTACAGCAAAAGCAGTTCTAAGAGGAAAGTTTGTAGTGACACAAGCTAACTTGAGAAACAAGAAAAAAATCTCAGATAAAAAAAACCAAACCTACCAACTGAAGGAATTAGAAAAAGAAGAACAAGCAAAATCAAAAGTGTGCAGAAGGAAATAACAAAGATCAGAGAGGAAATAAATGAAATAAAGACCCAAAGTCACCAAACAATAGAAAAGATCAACAAAACAAACATCTATATTTTTTGAAAAGATAAACAAAAGTGGTAAACTTTTCATGAGAGTTCATCAAGAAAAAGTGAGAGGACACACATAAACAAAATAAGAAATGAAAGATGAGAAATAACAACCATTACCATGAAGATACAAAAAAATAGTAAAAGAACACTACTGTTATATGCCAACAAATTGGACAACCTAGAAGAAGTAGACAAGTTTGTGGAAACATAAAATCTCCCAACACTGAATCAGGAAGTAATAGACAATCTGAACAGGCTGGTCACTGTGGTGAAATTGAGTTTATAATAATAATTATAAAATTACAGAAAGTAAATAACTGGAACTGGACAGCTTTGCAAGTGATTTCTACCAAACATAAAATGAAGAGCTAATGCCTATCCTTCAAGATTACTAACAACTAAAGGGGAAGAAACACTCCCACATTCATTCTATGAGGCCACTGCTACTCTGATACCAAAACCACACCAAAAAAGAAAGTTACAGTCCAATACCACTGATGAAGGACTTCCGTGGTGGCTCAGTAGTAGAGAATCTGCTTGTCAAGCATAAGACACAAGTTTGGTCCTTGGGTTGGGAAGATCCCCTGGAGAAGGAGATGACAATGCACACGAGTATGGTCTGGGAAATCCCAAGGACAGAGGAGCCTGTTAAGTTACAGTCTATGGGGTCTCAAAAGAGTTAGATATGACTTAGGGACTAAATAACCAACAACATCTCTGATGAATACAGATGTGAAAATCCTCAACAAGATATTAGTGGCAAACTGAATTCAATAATATATAAAAGTAATCACATAGCATGATCAAATGGGATTTACTCCAGGAATCCAAAGATGTTTCAATATCCATGAAGCAATCAATGTGATATACCACATTTACAAAAGAAATGATAAAAATCATGATAATCTCAAAAGGTGCAGAAAAAGCATATATCCACTCATGATAAATGCTCATCTAAGTTGGTATAGAGGGAACATATCTCAATATTATAAACACCATTTACAACGAACTCAAAGCTAACATCATATTCAGTGGTGAAAAGCTTGAGAACTTTTCTTCTAAAATCAGGAAGAAAACATGTACACCCACTCTCATCACTTTTATTTAACATAGTATTGGAAGTCCTAGCCATAGCACTCAGAAAAGAAAAAGAAATAAAAGGCATCCAAATTGCTGTGATTTACATCAGTGTTCTGCTTGATTTCCTCTAAGAGTTTTATAGTTTCTGGTCTTACAAGAAGGTGGAGTGCTGAAGAATTGATACTTTCAAACTGTGGTGCTGGTGTAGACTCCTGAGAGTCCGCCGGACAACAAGATGACCAACCAGCCAATCTAAAGGGAAATCAACCTTGAATACTCATTAGAAGGACTGATGCTGAAGCTGAAACTCTGGTATTTTGGTCATCTGATGCAAACAGCTGACTCATTGGAAAAGTCCCTGATGCTGGGAAAGACAGAGGACAGAAGGAAAAGAAGGCATCAGAGGATGAGATGGCTGAATGGCATCACTGATGCAATGGACATGAACTTGGGTAAACTTTGGGAAATAGTGAGGGACAGAGAGACCTGGTGTGCTGCAATCCATGGGGTCACAAAGAGTCAAACATGACTGGGTGACTGAACAATGGCAATCTTTTCTCCATTGTAAGGGCATCCAAATTGGAAAGAAATAACTAAAACTGTCACTATTTGTGGATGACATATTATATATAGAAAACCCTAAAGTCTCCACAAAAAGAACTATTAGAACTATAAATGAATTCAGTAAAGCTGCAGGATATGAGGTTAATATACAGAAATCTATTGCTTTTCTATATATTAATAATAAACCATCCAAAAGAGAAAGCAAGAAAACAATTCCATTTAAAACTGAATGAAAAAGAATAAAATATCTAGGAAAAAACTTTACCAATGAGGTGAAAAAACTATACAAACTATAAAACACTGATGAAGAAAACCAAATAAGATATAAAGAAATGGAAAAATACTCTGTGTTCATGGATTGGGAGAATTAATACAGTTAAAACATCCATACAACCCAAAGCAATCTACTGATTCAATGCAATCCCTATCAAAGTAACCAAGATATTTTTCACAGAACTAGGATAAATAATCCTAAAATTAATATGGAAGCACAAAAGATCCCTAATGCCAAAGCAATCTTGAGAAAGAAAAACAAAGCTGGAAATATCATACTCTCTGACTTCAGACTATACTACAAAGCTACAGTAATCAAAACAGTATGGTACTGGCACAAAAACAGACACATAGCTTAATGTGACAGAATGGATAGCTCAGAAATAAACCAAATAATGGTCACTTAATTTATGACAAAGGAGGTAAGAATATACAGTAAAGAAAAGACAGCATTTTCAATAAGTGGGAAAACTGAACAGCTACATATAAAAGAATAAGTTAGAACATTTTCTCAAACTATATACAAAAATAAACTCAAGCTTAATTAAAGCCTCAAAGATAAGACCTGAAACCACAGAACTCCTAAAAGAAAAAATAGGCAGAACACTCTTTGACATAAATTTTAGCAATATATTTGAATCTGTCTCCTAAGGCAAAGGAAACAAAAGCAAAAATAAACAAACAGGGCCCAATTAAACTTAAAAGTTTTTGCATGGCAAAGGAAACCATGGACAAAATGAAAAGACAGCCTACTGAATGGAAGATAATATCTGCAAATGATATGGCTGATAAGAGGTTACAACTCAATATTAAGAAAAACAACCTGCTTAAAAAACAAGCAGAAGACCAGAATAGACATTTTTCCAAAAAGACATACGGATGGCCAACAGGCACATGAAAAGATGCTCCATACTGCTAATCATCTAGAGAAATGCATATCAAAACCACAGTAAGGTATTGCTTCACACCCATCAGAATTGCTATCATCAAAAATTCTGTAAATAACAAATGTTTGAAAGGATGTTGCAAAAAGTGAACCTGAATACAGTGCTTGTAGGAATGAAAATTGGTACAGCCACTAGAGAAATCATGATAGATGTTCCTCAAAATCTAAAAGAGAATCACCTAATGACTCAGTAACCCCACTCTTGGTTATATATTCAAAGGAAATGAAAACAGTAATTCAAAAAGATACATGTACCTCAGTGTTCCTAGGAGCATTACTTACAATTGCCAAGATATGGGAGAAACCTAAGTGTCCATCAACAGATAAGTGGATAAGAAGATATCACATATATATAGTGGAATGCTACTTGATCATAGAAATGAAAGAAATTTTGCCATTTGCAATAGTGTTGATGGACCTAGAGAGTATTGTGCTTTATGAAATGTCAAAGACAAATATTGCATGTTATCACTATATGTGGAATATAAAAATAAAATGTGGAATAAAATAATAAAATAAAAATAGTTCCACATAAAAATAATATGTGGAATATAAAAATAAAATATAAAAAATAAAATAAATGACTATAACCATATGTAACAGACTCACACATATAGAGAACAAACTAGTTACCAGTGGGATAAAGGGAAGGGGGGAGGTAGACAAAAGGAATTAAGAAATACAGACTATTGTGTGTAGAATAAATAAGCAAGAAGGGTGTATTGTACAACACAGGGAATTTAGCCATTATTTTGCAGTCACTTTAAATGGTGTATAATCTATAAAAATACTGAATTATTATGATTTACACCTGAAACTAATATTTTAAATCAAATATAATTCAGAAAAAGAGAAAAACAGTGCATTTAAGGGGGGTGAGGATATATGTGTGTGTGTGAGAGAGAGAGAGAGAGAGAGAGAGAGAGAGAGAGAGAGAGAGAGGGAACTGTGAGTCCAGCAAAGCTAGGCTATAATGCACCTGAGGACCTTTTTCCAATTGCATTATAGAAGTATTTTCAGCTAAAAGATTTGCCCCCTTTTTGGAGACTTCTGCAAGAATACAACAATAGAAGCTTAGCAAATGTCTTTCTTGAATGGAGAATTTAATCAAAAGCCATGTATAATGATGTATAGTGGAAATGTTAACCTGGGCTTTAAAGACTGATTTGTTAGGTTAATAATATTCAAAAGGATCTCACATAACTAAATAGAGATATGAGCCTTCTTAACAGCCTCTGACAATAGGTGTGATCAGTTTCAGTGGTGGAGATGACCCCTGCTCTTGGAAAATGCAGTATAACTCATCTGCATGAACAGATGCTGACATTCTCTAAAATGACACATGCATCTACTATACATACAATATCTCCTGGTGGTCCTCTGGGTCCCACAGAGCCTGCAGGTCCTTGTTGACCCTAAAAGAGAAGGAGATATATACTTTAATTGTGCTAAAACTAGAGTCTGTACCTGAATATACATAAAATGTGGTGTGACCTTTATCTATAGAAAAGTATCCAGGCTTCTCTGTGTAACACTGAAATGTGCTTTGGGCTTACAGTTTCAAGACATTGTCACTTAAATGAGTCTGTTCTCATGTGGGTTTGATGCTTGGGTTGGGAAGATACCCCTGGACGAGGATATGGCAATCCTTTCCAGTATTCTTGCCTGGAAAATCCATGGACAGAGGAGCCTGGTGGGCTACAGCCCACGGGGTCTCAAAGAGCCGGACACGGCTTAGCAACTGAGCACATGTGCATGTTCTCACCAGTAGATGAGGTCTGGATAACTCGCTGTACACACGGGTGGGGGCACATTACACCAATCCTTCTCATGCCTCCGAGCAGTGGGCCTCCTTTGGGACAGTCCTATAGAATCCTGTGTGGGAAACTCAAGCGCCTGTGGGCTGCAGAATTTGGGCTTAGGAAATTAAATCCTGTTCTCTTTAAGGAAACAGGGTCATAGATGTGACTCGCATTTTTTACTCTTAAAGCTTTCAGGGATGCTATTGTGAATATGGTCTGAAAAGTACTTAAAGATCCTACTGTGATCCAAAAGACATGAGGTACCACGTGTGCAATGGTACGGGAGTGTACCAATACAGGAGCCAGTACGGGAATGTGTCTGCGGGGGGAATCACTATGAAAACATGATAAAGTCCCTGACACTTGTGATGGAAGTGAGTGGTACATCAGAGCTCCTTGTTTTACACAGAAATGGCTATACCTTCAAAACAACTTCCACATTTCCCTGAGTTATTTCTTATGTACCTTTAGTCCTGGGCTTCCAATTACACCAGGTGCACCAGGATCTCCAGGCTCGCCCTAAACATATGGGTGGGAAAGAAATGGTTACTTTAATTTTCACAATCTCAATATGTTGGAGATGCAAGAGAAGGCTGTCAGGGGATTACCTTTATTCCTTGTGATCCTGTTATTCCAGGTTCTCCCTGTAAATGAAATAATCACCATACATGTGTTTAAATTCAGATGGAGGACAGGGTCTCTAATGCTACAATTCATTTACACTTTCATTGGCTGACATGCGATAAAAGAGGAAATTACGGAGACATGATGAAGTCAAGAAGGGTTCATCCTAAAACATGATTTAAAATAATAATTGCTAATAAACAATAATTTCTTATTTTTCTTTCTTCTCTGTAACAGTTTTTCCTAAATCTCACTTTTGACACTGTAATCATCATGGTACATTAGCAGTCACTGTGTCCTCTACTCAACTGACATTGTTATGATTTGTCACCAGCTAATCCTACAGTTCAGAGAAATAAAACTTCAGATAAGGGTGAAAAAGAAAGAGTAGAATTTAAGTTGATATGTCATGGAGGTTCTACTATCAGATGTATGTATTTAATGAAACAAACAAACAAAAAATTAAGGTTATACAAAAGAGTACAAAGTTGGCCACAAAGAGTCCACTTTAATTAAATTATTTTCCATGACTTAATCACTGAACCTTTTTTTTTCCTTTTGGCTGTTCAACAGGATCTTATTTCCCAGAGTAGAGATCAAACCTGCACTCCCTGGACTGGAAGCTTGGAGTCTTAACCACGGGACCACCAAAGCGGACCTATCACTGAGCCTTTTGATAAAACCATCCTGTTTGGTAAATCCAGAAATTTTGGAAAAACTGTATCTTTTTTAAAAAATTAATTAATTAATTTTTTTCATTTATTTTTATTAGTTGGAGGCTAATTACTTTACAATGTTGTAGTGGTTTTTGTCATACATTGACAGGAATTAGCCAGGGATTTACATGTATTCCCCATCCTGACCCCACCTCCCACCTTCCTCTCCACCCCATCCCTCAGAAAAACTGTATCTTACACAATAATTTTGTACTTTCAATATCCTTGGTGAATATCTTTCATTACATTCATGTCCAATCACAAACAGTAATGTGTTACAGAAAATAAACACTATCTGAATTAAATGTTGAAGTATTATTACATGATAAAACTTAACAAGGTTTAAAATTTCATACTTATCAAAATAAAAGAGTGAAAATTCACAGAGGAAAAAGAAGAATGCTCAGGGAGCTTATCTTAGCAAATCTATTAGGCTCTAAAGTAAACATGATAGAAATCAGAGAGGAAGAAATCAATGAAATAGAAAACCCAAGATAGTGATAAAACATCTACTTACTTTATCTCCCTTTTCACCTTTTGTAAAGGGTTCCCCCTAAGAAAATGCATAGAAAAAGAATCAACTATAAACACTTTAAAAAATAATCTTTCCAAACCTGGATATGAACAAATCCTGCAGGTCAAACTCAGACCTCCGCTGCAAACATGTAATGACCCAGAACGTCACATTGTCTGCCTGTGCAGCTTAGAAGAACAATATGCACCTGAATTAGAAAACCCTTTAATATTCCCAAATGAACAGTAACTTAATCATCTTAATATTATTTTGAGAATCCTGAGTGCTTAACAAATTAGAATGTGGTCCAAGGCCAAAGCTTCCTCTGGTGTTCAAAGAGAAGATGGTCACACATACACACACACACACACACACACAAACAGAGGCAGACTGAATGTGAAGATGCTGGAGTGGTAAGTGGAAGGACATTCATTTGAATTCTTCCAGTTACTTAAGTTGGTGCTTAAAAAATATAGCCAGAGTTCTAAATTAGTGTTTAAAATTACAAAGTCATTACTGTAAAAATACATACTAATTTTCACCCTTTTAATGAAAATGAAATGAAGGGGTTAATTATTGGGTGAATAACAGTACAAGTCTGTGGAACTGATACTAGTTCTTGTTGTTGGGTTTAGGCTTGAAGGTTTTGGTGGGAGTCAAAGCTTTGAAGGAATGCGTCTTATTATGCAACACTTTCCCCATGGTCACTGGATTACTAACAACACAACCCATCCTCAATACACACACACACAGATGGGGAGGCTTCCCTGTATTAGCTTCTGTTCTTGAAGGTACATATTGTGGTGTCATTTAACCTTCACTACCCTGCTGTGAGGGAGATATTGTCCCACTACCAGAACGAGAAGAAATTCAGAAATGTTCTGAGTAACCCTAAGTTATTAATGTTTTTCCTAAAGCAGCATTCACCCACTGTATGTTCCCTGTTCCCTTGTTTATCTTGCCTACAAAATCTGTGAATGAAGACATACAATTCACCTTGATTATCATAGCATCTCTGGGGTACACTTCTGCTGTCCAATGAAATTTATTAAATTAGGGAATTTAAAGTTTTACAGATAAAACAATAATTGCTGACATTTATTGAATTCTTACAATGTATTAAACCCTGTTCTAATCACGTTATATACATTAATACAATTAACCTCTTGGATCAACAGGATAGTTACTATTAGTACATTCATTTACAGAGGGGGAACTGAGGCACAGGGAAGTTAGTTCATTTCCCCAAGGTCACAAAGCCAGTAAGAAGTCATTGAGGACCTAAACCCAGGCAGCCTGGCTTCAATATCAGACTTTGCTTACTCAGTCTGTTTGATTTTATTTATAATTTAATTGCTTTATTATATGAATTGAGTGAATGGATCATAAGACGGAAACCATACATTTTATTTTTTTTTTATTTTTATTTTTTTTCCATTTATTTTTATTAGTTGGAGGCTAATTACTTTACATCATTGCAGTGGTTTTTGTCATACATTGAAATGAGTTAGCCATGGATTTACATGTATTCCCCATCCCGGTCCCCCCTCCCACCATACATTTTAAAACATTTTATTTTGCATCTGAAAGTCAAGGGAAAGGCTGAGGACCACTATGCGAGGCAGTGCTGCTCTCAAAGGTCCTGGTAAAGATTTGACCTTCAGATCACCATAAGGCGGTGAGTGGTTACTGAAAAAACTTCATACCTCATGACCCGGGGACTTCCGGGGGCCCTGTCTTCTCCCCCATGTCTCCAACCTCCCTGCAGTTACGTGGGGCAAGCTGCTGATTCTGACTGTGAAATGAGTGCGGCAGGGCTGCGGGGCAGTTGAAGGCTGAGGCGTGCGGAGACCGTTCACCACGCTCCTGTCCTCTGTCCTGGCAGTGGCAGCTGAGAAGTTTGTGCCTATCAGAGGGCATAGCTCCCTGGTGCTTACCAGCCTGCTGACTGGTTACTGAGGGTCGTGTGGAGCAGGACACCCACGCCCCACCAACCACACTGGCTGGGCAGCATGAGCAAGAGGAAGCTTTTCTTGGGGTGAAACCACAGAAATTTTAGGGTTAATTTGTTACTTACTACCTACTCTGACTAATATGGCCCATATATGTCCAACATGATTAAATCTCTTATTGAATAGTTTCTATATATTAGATATATAGAGAGTTTTATTTATATTCTTGCATTTCAGTCTTAACTAAAAATCAATTCAATTTTTAAGATAGGAGATGAAGTTAATGAGATGTGAGCAATGGGCTGCACTGCTTTTAAAACTGCTTATTTCTGATTATGTTACATTACTTATGTCACTGATTATTTAGAACCTCTGCCAAGCCACAGTGATTAAGTAACTTCTAGTTGGGGGAGAAAACGCAAAACCAGGAGCCTGGTTGTCTAGAGAGCTGATATTTTGTTTTAATTCCAGTGGCTACTATCTGGGGCAAGTCATTTACATTTTGGAGCCTCTTTTTCCTTATCTATAAAATCCTGGGGTTCAACTAGATGACATTTTCACTCCGATATCTAACCTAATCATGTAGTAAATGTCCTGTAACAGGGGACAAACTGCCATTTAAAGTACTACTCAGGCTCAGAGTTCAGATTTGGATGAAGATTATTCTTCTGTTTGGACCTTCTGGTTACCATGTTAAGTTCAGATCCTGTTCCAGAATAGAAAGGCTGAGACCACAGAGAGCTAGACTGCTTTACTAGTGATGTGACATTTGTGTTTTTTCCTGTGGGAAGCTGGGAGAAAGGCAGGCAAAGATGTATTAATACAAGGAAGGTGGGATAATTCACAGCTTAAGAGGAAACTGACAAGGAGGAGAGCTGGGAGGGTAAGCTAGATGGGGAGAAAGGCGGTCTCAGGGGTGGGCCTTGGTAACAGGACAGAAAGCTAAGGTAGACTTTCATGAACTGTGAAATTCCCCAGTTCTTGCTGCTCATAGCACGGCCCAGCATCCACAGCCAGGAGCACAGCCTGAGTGCGTTGAGAAATACACCTGCTCAGTCTGAAAGCGGCTCTTTTGACCCTCTCCTGCTTCCCCATTTCTGTTCCCCTCTGAACTTAAGAGAACCTAAATATAAAAATGAGATCACCAAGCAATTGGAACTAACTCCTGACTTATGCTGTCCATACACGCCTAATGCACGCCATACCTTGCCTAAGCTATTACTTTTTTCCTAGATAAAAAGGAGTGAAGAATTAAACCATTGAAAAATGACTAGCTCTCTCCCTCAGTGGCCCCCTTGGTAATCCTGCAGGAGGTCATGCATCAAGATCACATTTGAAGAGATAGTCAGCCAGTCTGCACTCAAAGGAAAAAAGACTCAGATTCCAACCTCTTGCCTCAATGTTTCACTGAGGTTCTTGCCGCCCCGCCCCCCTCCCCATTCTTTTCCCTTTAAAAACTGTCCTGGCTGAAAAGAACCTTGGGAGTTGGTCTCAGGACATGAGTCCACCTTCTCCCCAGGTTGCGGGCTTTTCTGATCACAGCACCTTTCCTGCTGACACTTGCCTGGGCAACTGTTGGCTTATGCGCAGTGAGCAGCTGAACTGAACTTGAGTTTGGTAATAAACCGCTACCCAGACCTGCTGAACTAGGATTAGCATTTCAAAAGAATCTTTAGCAATTCAAGTTCACATTTAGTCTGAGAGGCACTGCTCTAATCCACTCAAATTTCTCTTTCTGCTCTACAAGTCCCGGCTGTTCCAGTAGAATTTTAGTTAACCTTAGATCCTGGTTTGCCACACAGCATGTGGAAATTAAGAGAAGGTGTCAGTGCTCCAATGTGGAGGGGAGACAGGCTGGGGGCAAGGGGCAGATAAAAGGTGAGGAGAGGTGCCGTAAGTGTGGAGTTACCGGAGTCAGCTGGCAGATGGAAGGCACAGCAGACCCCGCGCTGATTTGTGGGAGACAGATTTCCTAGAAAGTCTTGGAAGTCTCAGGCATGGAGCCCCAGTGAGGACTGTTACTGGTTTGGACAGAAAACCAAAGGCAAGAGTGACCCCTGAAGGAGGAGAACTTCGGAGCACAAGGGGGGCAGCATGAACTCTAAAGCTGTCAGAACAATGACTATCATCGCCAAAGATGTTTCATTTTTAAAGCTGAAGCACAAGGAGAATTTGACTTTGTGATATTAAATACTCTTCATATTGTTCCCGTTTGGCAGGCATGCAGGCATTTTAGTGACCTCTTCATTTTTATCTCTGGCCAACCAATAATCTCTGTTCATCCCAGCAAGGGAAGACGTAAAACTGAATTTTTTTTTAAGTGTTACATTTTTTTTTTTAAACAAAGATGAAACATTTGTTAAGTCATTCTTGCTGATTCTTGCAGGCTGCTGTGGGGTTTTGGTTTTTTTTTTAAGCAGAATTAAAATATATATATTTTTGTAATTAGGATTCATGTCATCGCTTTAGGTAGTCCCATTTGAATATAAATGATACTGAAGGTACTTTTTTCCACCAAAAGAACTAAATTTTGGAAGAATCTGGCCTCAGTAATATTTAAGAAGTCATTTTGACCTATAAAAACCTAGAATAACTTCAGAGACTACACTGAGAGTAATTGTTTGAGCAAAGATAAATGTCTCTATTTTTGGGGGGGGATAAATTAGCCCTTTTGATATGCTGATTTTATTATTCATTTTAGCTATTATCTTTAGTTATAGCAGGACAGCTTAGTGATTTTTAAACCCTGGGTTCTGGAATCAACCTGCCTAGGAGTGATTCATGGTTTCAATACTTCCTAGCTTAGGGACCTTAGGGAAGTTACTTAACCTTTCTGTGCCTCGGTTTCCTCATCTGAAGGATGGGGATTTTTTTTTTTAATGAACTAAGTGAGGTAACACATGTAAAAACTTAGTACCTCATTTAGAGAACTTGACCAAATATCTGATCTATTGTTCCTTATGCTGGGGACAACCAACGCACATGGAATTGGGGCTGATTAAGAAAAATATCTTAATTCTATCTTTTGAATATTCTCCCTCTGCTCTCAAAGCTAAAATACTTACAGATTCTCCCTTTTCACCTTTAGGGCCAATAGATCCCGGAAATCCTGGCGGTCCAGTTTCACCCTTTCAAGAAAAGCAGAAGACAGTTTTTGCATGAGGCTAGGTGAGTCCTGTTGTGACCTTCAGGGTGGTAGCACAACTTGTACCCCTTCTAACAATGGAATTTATCTATTAACCCCAAGGGGCAGTGGGAAGCTCTGAATCCAGTAGGTTACTGGCATAATAATGTGTTTATCAGCACTCCACAATGCCTTTAGGTCTTTTAGAAATCCACTATTCATTATGATCTTTAAAATTAATGTGAGACAAAAGTCAATTATTTTTCAAGCAAGGAATATTTCGAGAAAATAATGATAATTATGCTCTGCTGTGCCTCCCCCAAAAAATTTTGTGGCCTTAAAGACATCATGTTGTTTAACTGACACAGTAATCCAAGTTCATTTTATTTCAGATATTTCTTTCTTTTTTCAAGTAGAGGAAGATATAGGAAGAAAAAGACATCTCTCCACTGTTTCCAGCACTCATTCACCACTGTTTGCTTGCAAAGAAGGCCTTCTTGATGGGACATATAAAGAGTATTTTGAGAAAATAAAATTTTAGAAATAATATTTGTGGCAAGGAAATGTACCACTAATTAAACGATAGAGATGTCTCAGTGTTGTGCTTCCATTTACTATTAACCAACAACCCTGAATGCCACACAGTTGTTAAGTGCAGCCATGAGAACATATGTAGGGTTTTCCTGGTGGCTCCTCCCAATGCAGGAGACACGGGTTTGAGCCCTTGATCAGGAAGATTTCTTGGAGAAGGAAATGGCATCCCACTCCAGTATTCTTGCATGGAAGTCCCACAGACAGAGGAACCTGGCAGGCTGCAACCACGGGGTTGCAGAGTTGGACACAACTGAGTGACTGAGCAACAACTAGAATGTATATAATGCTGGGTTGTTTTCCAACCCCAAGAGCATTGTTTCAAAACAGTTTTCATCATTGCATTTCCAAGCACATAGCTTTTCTGCCCCTTGTATCTTTTTTATTTCAGAAAAATATACAAGAAAGATAAAGTTGAATATGTCAAACCTCCATAGACAAGGCACCCACCCAAGATGGAAGAAAAAAAACCTTAAAGTCAAGAGGAAATTTCATATTCCCTCTCTATTTCTGTGCCAGAGAGAGTCACTGTTATGAATTTAGTACTTACATTTTCAGTCTACATTTTTGTACTTTTACTGCATATGTGGAACCATAAAGAGTATGCTATTTTGGATATTTAAAACAAATTTTATAAAAGCCACTGGTTAATCTTGTATATGACACTCTGTGACTCCCCCCCCCCCCCACCCCAACTCAATGTTGTTTTTAATATCCATCCTCTTTTGATACATAGAGATCTAGTTTATTCACTGAACCTTTGGATAGTATTATAGTGTGTTAATGGATCAGGGGTCATTGAAGCCCCACTCATGGGTATTTGGGCTTCCCATGGGGCTCATGGTAAAGAATACGCCTGCCAATGCAGGAGATGTAAGAGGCATGGGTTTGATTCCTGGGTCGGGAAGATCCCCTGGAGAATGGCAACCCACTCCAGTGTTCTTGCCTGGAAAATCCCATTGACAGAGGAGCCTGGTGGGCTTCAGTTCATGGGGTTGCAAAAGAGGTGGGCACAACTGAGAGGCTGAGCACAAATGGGCATTTTGGTGTCTTATAAACAGGGTGCAGTGAACATCTCTGCACATGTCCCCTGTGTGGATATGTTTATCTGTTTCTTTTGAAGCCTCAAAGAGTCAGCCCCGAAGACACTGGTTTACTTTTATATTTCTATCCTAATCAGTATCTTGTGATTTAGCTTAGAGAAGAGGGAGTCAGTCATTCGTAATGGATAGACAATGTCATTTTTTTTTTTAAGGAGGCTTCCAGATTTGTGGAATGTATTTTGTAAATTTAATCTTCATTTATTAATACAAGCATTTTCCCTTATAGTGTACCATCTAAACATAGAATGTAACAATAGTTTTACACTTACCATATTGTAGGAGAATTCATTTTCCTACAGATAGTAAGTTCTATCCACAATGAAAAGAGGAAGAAATTGGTTGAGATGTTAAGGGACTGACTGCTGTTGGTCTGACAGACTAAACAACTGGTCTTGTACAAGTGTTAGACTGTATAGAGTGTGGGCCTTCCTATCACCCGTCTGATAGCTGTTAAAAGCCTCAGTGCACTGGGGAAAAAATAAGCCCAGCAATTCAAGCCAGCTGCATAAAGTAAATGTAGAAATCAAGGAAAGGGTCTAGGAGTTACTATAAAAGTCACATCTGCTTGATACAAAAAGGTAAGGGGAGAGGAACATGCCTGAAGGAAGAGTAACTATGTTCACAGCTGCTAAGTATTTAAAACAACATATACAGGTCTCTACTGAAATGCAGAGGAAGGGCCAGGCAGAGGCTTTGGTCCACCTCTGTTTGGTATGGAGGTGTGGCTGGGCTTGGAGGAAGTCTTAGAGACCAGCGCCTCAATACAAAACTCTATAAACAAAAGCATTTCCCACCTGAATCTTAAACACATATGGAGTTGTTCTTCATATTTAAAATGGATGTTCAGTAATTTATGACTGTAATTATGAGTCGAAAGATCAGTGATGGATTTACTTAGCTTCGAGAAAGGCAGTCATTTAAATTGACACTCTGGATGCTATCTGAAAGGTCTGGTGGTGATGAACCTCCATCTTTTTCCTCTGACAATTGCTCTAAAAGACACCACTAATTTCTCAGGGGTCCTTAGATATTCCACCTCCTGATTCTTCTGTCTCTATAAAGGAGCAGCTCTCCCTGACCGACTTGCAGATACATCACCATCCCATCACTGCATCCTGGCTTTGTCAGGAAGCTACAGAGCAGAGGTCATCATTTCAGTCCTAGCAGGTGGCTTGCATGGATGCCTGGGTCTCTATCACTATTTACCATTAAAAGCTGGTAGTATTTGTTGCTCTTTCTTTCTGTATCTTGAATCAGAATGAGGCTGCTAACCTAGGAGTGATTTTTGTGTCAATTCTATTGCTGTTTGTATTGACTTTGGTGTTTTACTAGAAGTGTGTGTGCATGCTAAGTCACTTCAGTTGTGCCCGACTCTGTGTAACCCTATGGACTGTAGCCTGCCAGGTTCCGCTGTCCACAGGATTCTTAAAGGAAGAATACTGGAGTGGGTTGCCATGCCCTTGTCCAGGGGCTCCCCGACCCAGGGATGGACCCCTGTCTTTTATGTCTCCTGCATTGGCAGGTGGGTTCTTTACCACTTTGGGTTCCAAATGGTAGGCTGGCTTTGTGACTCTATTCTGCCAGCCGTGCATTGAGAAGTAGAATATGATACAGCAAAAGTCATGCATATGTTGAAATTGTACTTCTGGCTCAATCTTACATTCTACAACATAAACTGAATCTCTTCTCCATCAAAATTATGGTGGGAGAAGCAAAGATCATCAAGACCAGATGCTAAGTATGATAACTATGAATACCAAAAAGACATAAATGATACTCCATGAGAAGAAAGAGAGTTTAGAATGGATGAACAGTGAGGAACAAAGCATTAGTGAGGGCTTAATATATGTCAGGCATTGTGCTTTGGGTAAGATCATCTCATCTCATTTGATTTAAATCCTGCCATCAACTCTGTGTAGATATATTTTGCCCATTTCACAAACAAGTAAATTGAAGACCAGAGGATTGGAGTGTCTTTTCTGAGGAGACATAGCTGTTAATGGCACAATCAGCTTTTGACCCCAGAGCCCAGGTTCCTTCCATCACTCAACAGTTCTCAACCCCGGCTGCCGAGTAGAATCATCTGAACTCTTTTAAATAACAGCAACATGAACCCCACTCCGGATCAACCAGAGACATGAGTTCTGCCCCACATCAGAGTCCTGGAGATGGGGCCCGAGACTGGTAATTTCCAAAAGCCCTCAGGGGACTCCAGTGCACAGCTGAGGTTCAGAACCACTGGGGTCCACCAGGGTGCGAGCAAAGGTCTGAGGGAGCAGCTTGAAGGGGCCTCAAATTCTCACTACAGTGACCTCTGAACAGCATCACCAAGAATGGGAGTATAGACTCAGCCCAGGTATGGAGTGTGAGCAGGCAGAGGTGATTCTGCTCCTCCAGCAAGGGCGGTTTTACATTTTAGAAGTCATCCTATGCATTTTTTACTGGGACAGTCTTTCTCCTGTTAATTAAAATTCCTACAAATCATTTCACATGGGCATTTATATCAGGTACTGTATCCAGTTCTCTGTAGACTCCCCTGGGTATTTCTTTGGGTAGGAAGAGGGAACAGTCATGCCACTGGCTTTTTCTAATTCCACTTAAGATTCTGAAGCAATTAGAAAAGATTTTGAGCCATAGAAAGTGTCCTTAGAGTTAGAAATACACCTGTTTTACAGAATCAAATTTCTCAACATTGAGGTCTTCAGAATTCCTAAGTAACATGTGTTTCCTAATGAACAGAGCAAAACGGGAGCCAGCTGCTTTGTTTCAAGGAATGAATCATGATTTAAATACTTTAAAAGTGCCACAGCTCTCTTTGCTCAGCTGTCCTAAGTGACAAGCTCTTTTTTTTTTCTCCTTAGTCTGCATGTGTCCTGCAGTAACTGCTTAAAATATAATGTGTTCGTTATGGTGGTGTAGGAATTCCATAAGCTATTTGGTTACAGGAAATAATGTTAATGTACCAGAAGTGCAATCCAAGACACATAAATGACATTACTGCTGTATAATCAATTTTTATGGATGTCTTTTTAAGAATGTCAAGGTTTTCATTTTTATTTTTTGCAGGAAATTTCATTTGCAATGGTTAGTCTATAAGAAGCTTCCCATTCTGTGGAGACTATCTCTAAGCAGTTGTTTTTTATTTTTATTTTTTTCTTTCTGGTGACGGAGGTATGATCTTGTGAATAGATGGGCTGCACAGATTTATAAGGCACGGAAGTCATATTTTCTTGGATTCATGTCGAAATACCCTGCCCTCAATCATGAGAATTTTTACTGGGTGAATGAAGGAAGGGCGCGCTCACAGGCCATGTTCCTGCAGAGTATTTTCAGCCCTACTCATCTCTGTCTGTGGATTTGATGTGCGTTGTTTCTTTTGTCTTTTTTTTTCTTTTTTAAATTGAAGTATAGCTGATTTACAATGTCATGTTAGTTTAAGGTGTACAGCAAAGTTATTCAGTTTTACATACACATATATATCTATATATTCAGGTTCTTCTCCCTTATAGGTTATTACAAAATATTGAATATAGTTCCCCCCTTTTTTTCTTGACAATGACAATTTCCCACTGAATCTAAGGTCATCACAATTGCAGGATCTAACAGGAGTGAGACATCTTTTTGAGAAGGCAAGCGCATTTGTCATCTTCACAGCTAATATAATGAAATTCGTGAATGATGACAATGAGAAGGCAATGGGAATTCACCAGCGTTTTAATTTTAAAGCTGTTTTGAAATAATTATTTGGTTAAACTGCTACTGTACACGATAAAACCCCACCCCAAAATGCTCCCATGACAGCTTATGCTTGGATACTTAAGAGGACAGAAAAATACCAAGCCTCAGGCATCCTGTCACAGGGCTTTTCAGATTGCTTTTGCCACCTATGTGGATCCAAGAAACATCTAACTACAAACTGGAACATGTGTCCTAATTTCATTTACCTGTGACAGTTATGTGACAGCTATTTCCCCTCAGTGTGGAAGTGTTCCCTTCCTGTGGTCCGCTGCTCAGGGCTTCCAGGGGAGGCCAAGCTCAGTCCCGCTTGCTCAGGAGGCGGGGAGAGTGGCGCCCCCTGCAGGCTGATGTGGAACCTGCGGGGCAGTGGGGCTGCCCTGGTGTGAATGTGTGAATTGGTGTAAAAACCTAGATGTCTCTACTCAGTCTGCAAATTTGATTACCTTCTCTCCTTTTAGACCACCAGCTCCATGTTCACCAACATTACCCTGAGTAAACATGAAACAAAAATTTTTAAAAATCCATTTATTTTTAAAACAGTCCATACTTTAACATAAAAATAGATAAGAGCACTGTAACAGCTTTTATCCCATTTGCCTCTCTCACACTCTGTCAAATATTCCTGAAATATTTGCCTCTGTTAAACATTCCTGAAAAACTCACTTTTGAGACCCTACTTGTCCTCACCGTGACCTCCACCCAACCCGGTCAGGAGGTGACGCTGGAGAAACAGCACATCTCCAGGGGTGAATTAACTCCAAGCTAACATCCAGTAGCCTCGTTTGGTTTTGATACAACTTTCAACACTAGCAGTGGTATCTTTGTTGCTCAGTGTAATGGATGTTCCATTATCGACCTTGCGGCTGCACTTGGTTCGCTCATGACTTGCATTACATGTACTCTGCTTCTTCCCCTGTCTCTCTGTCCTCTCCTCTCCAACCAGCTCCTCACTGGTCAAGCCTGGACCTCCTGGGGACCTCATCCAGCTCTCTTCTTGTGATTCAACCTTTTGTCCCAGGTACGCTTATCCATTCCATGGCTGGGGCATTATCTACACGAGGACAGACGAATCTGTAAACCCAGTGCGTGTTTCCCTTCTAGGTTTTGACCCCTATATCTATTTTTCTACTTGATGTGTTCACTTATAAATTCTAGAAGAGAGTTAGAGTTAGAAAGATAAGCGAATATCTCATTGCTAACAGTTATTAATCCAGAAGTGGGGCGATGATAATTAACTTCTTCCTAACATATCTCTGCAGTTTGACTTGTTAAAATGAGTAGTAATTTCATTTTATAATTGAAAAAATTACATAAGAAAGAAAGTGTGCATCCAACCTCTCCTGTCCATAGACTTTCTTTTTCCATCGAGGTTTCATCATTGACACAGCCTTCCTCTACTCCTAAGGACAATGTCATCCAATCTGGCGCCTCTGCCCCAAGTCTCTTCATTCCAGCTACCTCCACTGGAAGGCCACCAACACATCTTGCAGGATCATTGCCAAGGTTCCCTCACTGGCCCCTATAACCTACTCTTGCTCCCCTGGCACACATGTTCTCTATAGGAGGTCAGAATGTAATCTTTAGATGACGTTCTGACTTCCTTTCTTCAAAACCTCAGCAAAGTCACATAAAGGGTCTTCTCTCAGCCCCTCAAATGGACCAGGATCCTTCATGTCTCTTCGTGTAGTCTCCCGCTCTGTCCTCACCTCTTCATCTGGTTAGCAATGACTCAGATCTCAGCTATTATAAAATGCATTCGGAGGGTCTCCAGACAGGTTCCCTTCACACGTTCTCATTGTACATCGTGTTTCTCCTTCTTAATACCAACTAACATTTGAAATTTTGTATTTCTTTAAAACTTCTTATGTTAGCATGTAAGACCTATGAGACCTGGAACTGAATGCCCACCCCATGCCTATACCAGTACATAACATACAGGAAGCACTCAATAAATATTTGTTGAATAAATAAGCCAATCACTGTTGTTACAGTTTAACATTTTAAATGTGCCTTCATATTACTCATGCTACTCCAGTTAAAAAGAAGTCGTTTGGGGGATTCCCTGGTGGCTCAGTGGTAAAGAAACTGCCTGCCAATACAGGAGACATGGGTTCGATCCCTGATCTGGGAAGATCCCACATGCATCAGAGCAACTAAGCTAGTGAGGCACAACTATTGAGCCTGTGCTCTATAGCCCACAAACCACGATTGCTAAAGCTTGCCCGCCAGGAGCCCTTGTTCTGCAAAGAGAAGTCACTGCAATGAGAAGCCTGCACATGGCAACTAGAGAAGAGCCCACACAGCAATGAAGACCCAGCACAGACAAAAATAAATAGATAAGTAAAATTATTTTAAAAAATTGAAAAATAAAAATAAAATTTGAGGAGAAAGAGACTAAAACTTCTATTAAAAATAAGTAGTTTATAACTGCTGTTATTAATAGTACTGGTCCTGTGATAGTCCCTCATTTTTCCTACTTACCTTTGATCTCAGATATCTAAATTGAAAACAAAAATTGTAGTCCCCAAATCTTAAGTTATAAATCATTTGCTATTGTTGTTCAGTCTCCTGTCATGTCTGACTCTTTGCTGCCCCATGGACTGCAGCAGGCCAGGCTTCCCTGTCCTTCACCATCTCCCAGGGTTTGCTCAAACTCATGTACATCAAGTCGGTGATACTATCCAATCATCTCATCCTCTGTCATCCCCTTCTCTTGCCTTCAACCTTTCCCAGCATCAGGGTCTTTTTTAATGAGTTGAGTCTTCACATCAGGTGGGCAAAGTATTGGAGCTAGCTTCAGTATCAGTCCTTCCAATGGATATTCCAGGACTGATTTCCTTTAGGATTTACTGGTTTGGTCTCCTTGCAGTACAAGGGACTGTCACGAGTCTTCTCCAACACCACAGTTCAGAAGCATCAATTCTTCGGTACTCAGCCTTCTTTATGTTCCAACTCTCAGCTTCATACATGACTACTGGGAAAACCACAGCTTTGACTATATAAACCTTTTAAAAAAATTTTTTTTTTCATTTATTTTTATTAGTTGGAAGCTAATTACTTTACAATATTGTAGTGATTTTTGTCATATATTGACATGAATCAGCCATGGATTTACATGTATTCCCCATCCCGATCCCCCCTCCCCCCTCCCTCTCTACCCGATCCCTCTGTATAAACCTTTGTTGGCAAAGTAATGTCTCTGCTTTTAAATATGCAGTCTAGGTTTGTCATAGCTTTTCTTCCAAGGAGCAAGCGTCTTTTAATTTTGTAGCTGCAGTCACCGTCTGCAGTGATTTTGGAGCCCTCCCAAAATAAAGTCCGTCACTGTTACCACTGTTTCCCCATCTATTTGCCATGAAGTGATGGGACCAGATGCCATGATCTTAGTTTTCTGAATGTTGAGCTTTAAGTCAGGTTTTTCACTCTCCTCTTTCACTTTCATCAAGAAGTTCTCTAGTTCCTCTTCTCTTTCTGCCATAAGGATGGTGTCCTCTGTGTATCTGAGGTTATTTATATTTCTCCTGGAAATACTGATTACAGCTTATTCTTCATCCAGCCTGGCATTTTGCATGATGTGAAACATATAAGTTAAATAAGCAGGGTGACAATATATAGCCTTGATATACTCCTTTCCCAATCTGGAACCAGTCTATTGTTTCATGTGCAGTTCTAACTGTTGCTTCTTGACCTGCATACAAGTGTCTCAGGAGGCAGGTAAAGTGGTCTGGTAGTTTCATCTCTTGAAGAATTTTCCATTGTGATTCACATAGTCAAAGGCTTTGGCATAGTCAATGAAGCAGAAACAGATGTTTTTTTTCTGGAATTCTCTTGCTTTTTCTATAATCCAATGGATATAGGTGATTTGATCTGGTTCCTCTGCCTTTTCTAAATCCAGATTGAACACTGGAAGTTCTCAGTTCATGTACTGTTGAAGTTTAGCTTGGAGAATTTTGAGTATTACTTTGCTAGCGTGTGAGATGAGTGCAATTGTGTGGTAGTATGAACATTCCTTGGCACTGCTTTTCTTTGGGATTGGGGTGAAAACCAACTTTTCCAGTCCTTTGGCCACTGCCAAGTTTTCCAAATTTGCTGGCATATTGAGTGCAACACTTTAACAGCATCAACTTTTAGGACCTGAAATGGTCCAGCTGGAATTCCATCACTTCCACTAGCTTGGCTCCTAGTGATGTTTCCTAAGACCCACTTAACTTGGCATTCCAGGATGTCTAACTCTAGGTGAGTGATCACACCATCGTGGTTATCTGGATTATAAGATCTTTTTTGTATAGTTCTTCTGTGCAAGGATATATATGAAAGTGAGGTATGACACTCTGAGTCACATACATAAAGAATGAGCAGTTACAAAATGATAAGCTGTTTGAGCGCAATCTGCACAGAAACATAAAACTTTAGGAGTTTCCTGAAAATACTGCTATTTGGGCCTGGAGCCAATAACCATGCACAGCCCATCAGGGTCTCTGCCTGGCTGTGTTTGTGCTAAGATGTGTGGGGAAGGTGGAACATGCTTGATCTAAGACAGTGGCCCCCAATCTTTTTGGCACCAGGGACTGATACTGTGGAAGATAATTTTTCCACAGATAGGGTGGGGTATGGTTTCAAGATGATTCTCATAAGGAGTGTGCAACCTAGATCCCTTGCATGTATGGTGAACAGTAGGGTTTGCACTGCTGTGAGAATCTAATGCCACCACTGACCTCACCACTGGAGGGGAGCTCAGGTAGTAAGGCAAGTGATGAGGAGTGGCTATAAATATAGATGAAGCTTCGCCCGCTCGCCTGCCCACTGTTCACCTCCTGCTGTGTAGTCCAGGGGCTTGGGACCCCAGGTCTAAGACATAGGTTGTCCAGGGATGGTTTTGGACTGGGAGGCCCCGTGCTTTTGACTTTCAGAGCAGAGGAGTACTCAAAGGACATCTGCTGAGAGCATCTCACAGCACCTTGGTTTAGGTCCTCCTCCCTAGCTGATCCCCCAACAACCGAAAGGGTGTCACAGATGCTGTGAGATGAAGAGATGGCTCGACAGCACTAAGTCATATTATTCTATCCATATACTCTATTGTTCTAAAATCTTGATTTTTCTGGAGGTTTTCACATCCAGAAAAACAACATGGTATTTACTGCCAAGCAGAGTATCATATGGTTGCTTCATGCAATAGCTCTTTCAGGAAACCTATCTAAATAAGGACCCTCAGTGGCCTCTGTAGGTGTTATCCACTCTTGGCTAACAACACTCAAGGCAGAGGCAAACTTGAACTTCATTTGCATTGATCTGTTGACATGTGAGATTCTCCTCTCTGCTTTCTCCAAGCTAATTGTATCAGACAATTACTTGACTCTATAGAAATAATATGACTTCCCTTGTGGCTCAGCGGGTAAAGAATCTGCCTGCAATGTGGGAGACCTGGGTTTGATCCCTGGGTCAGGAAGATCCACTGGAGAAGGGATAGGCTACCCACTCTAGTATTCTT